CGTAAAAAAAATTAATGAAAACTTGTGATAAGTCTTTTTTGAAAAAAATATTTTGTTATAATTTTCCCCTATTTCCTCAAAATCGTGCGAAAACTACCATATTTTAAATGAAGTTAACTAGAGAAGTAATTGTGGATAAAACATTCAATTGAAGAAAACAATATTTACTTTCTATAATGTTGTGTGAGGGGGTTCAAAAAATTTCAAACTTTTCCATTAATGAAAATTCAGAATTAACTGTGAAAATAGGACCTACACCTTCTATATTGGTGTTTTTCACTCTATCCCCACCCTTGTTACTGGAGTGAAATATCATTGTACCCTCCCTCTCAAAGTTCGATGAACTTTACGAGCCGTAGCCCAAAAATTTTAAGAATTCTTTTTAAAATCACAGGGCTTCGAGTCGGGCCAAAATGATCATGGAATAATAAATTTGGGGAAAATCCTACGAGACGCTAGTGTTGTTCACGGACGGATGGACGGACGCACGGATTGAAGCCGGGCGAATGGGTAAACGGACGGGCGGGTGGTAAGGAATGTCGAAAACTTGGTGTTTAAACCTGGGCCTAGATACACACAACATTCTCAAAGAATATTTTTTTCAGGTAAAATGTACTTGCCGACTGCCCTATGTATTTCATCCTCTAATATTTGAGTCTTGCTATAAATGTTCCCTTTAAGAATTATCCTATTAATAGCAGATTTCCCTCTACAAAACGCGTGTTATCTTTCTGTTCTAATTTTTCCAATGTAGCCTTCTCAGATCTATAGCCATACTGTATAACCCTAACCCCACTTGGCGACTGCTTCGTTTGTTCCTTGTTTCGGCGTGAATAATACCCCTGCGTAACGTGCGCCTTACTGAAAAGTTCTCCTTTCCTGTAGCTGCAACTTGTTCCACATTACGCGTTCTCTTGGGGTTAGTCCTGATTTTTTTATTTACAATATTTTAAGAGTAATGATCGTTTATTGGGATGTACTACTTCCGTTGCTGCCTCAACTCCTTCTATAAATTCTCTGAGATGTCTTGCATTGCCACCGGCGTCGGTGGTTCAGGGGAATCAACTGATGTCACTGCGGTGTCTCTGAACTTGAATTCTAGAGGCCGGCTCTGATCGATAGTTTTCCGTGATTTCTCCGATCAACACCAGAGCACTACTCTAACAAACAGACACGACCCGCGCGATCTTTCCTTCCCATTCCTTGCCTTATCCGCGCCCCTTTCTTATACACACACACACACTTAAATCTACAACATATCACACACCGGGAGACCAGTCCAAAACTTAGAGCGTGTTCCGACTAGGGCAGTACCCCGCGGGTACACAGTGCAACTGCACTCAGGCCGATGTGGCCCAAGAGGGAGATGAAGGCAGAGCTCCACCTATTCGTCGCCGACGGCATAAGGAAGAGGTGGTGTGGTGAGCAAAACTCTCCGGCCACCTTTGCCCCATCTCAGTACTCACATGGAGGCTGAGACGACCTCAGAGCCACCCTGAATGAAAATTACCAGATAAGAATCCCAATCTACATCGGGGTTGGAGCCTGGGACCTTCAGGTCAGGCAGCCAGAGCCCTACCAATGGGTCATCGCGTCTCTTTTGTGGCCCACTGGTAGGAGATACTTATTTGGGGAAAAAACCACTATCCTAAGTGTAGGTCGGCGCCTAATCTCAACATCCAACGAGGGAATATCATCGCCTCCTCCCGCATGCTGTTCACTTACGGGACACTTAATCAAGTAGTTAACGCACCCAGAAGAACGAAATAATCAATCAATCTTGGATTGTCATGAAAGTTACGCTATATTACCGCTATGTTACGCTATGTTATGCTATATTTGACCGCCTGTGCATCTGAGAAAAAAATGTCCTCATCAACAAGATCTCTGCCAAGGCTGGATTAACCTCTTGCGGGGAAGCTTCGGGATGCAATTGATGGCTTCGATCCCCCCTCCCCCAAGGGTAATGGATCCTCTAGCGGCGCGTCAGCCGACGACTGATCGCCGAAGAGGTCCACCGGGCTCCTCAGCGGCTGCTGATGCTGCCTCCAAACCATGGCGGTTTCTGCTAGCGGTGTACTGGTATCACAGCGACCTCTCTTAAGCTGGCACTACTATAATCGGTTCAACGATTTAATTGCTAAATAATTACGAAAAATCGTTTAATTGCTCGTCCAACTTCCAAGTAATTAATGGTGTGCTGGATTAAGACTAAGCTGGCATCACCACAAGCGGTTATCACAAAAGCAAATGTGCCATCTTGTAGAGCGATTTAATTGCTAAATAATTCGCAAAAATAATTGAATTGCTCTACAAGCTTCGAGTAATTAATAGTCAACTATCCAGTGCAGCTTAAAATGACACCACCACAATCGGTTATCTCCAAAACAAATACGCTACTACGTACGGCAATTGAATTGCTAAATAATTACGAAATATTAGTTTAATTGCTCTTCAAACTTCCGAGTAATTATTGGTGAGGTGGCTTGTGACTGAACTGACACCACCACAATCGATTACCACATAAAACCTATGCCATTTTGTAGAATGACCGAATTGTTAATTAATCCCGAAAAATGTACTTCATTGCACTTCAAACTTCCGAGTAATTAATGGTGTTCTAGTTTAAGAGTAAGCTGACATCACCATAAGCCGTTACCACAAACCCAATGTACCATCTTGGAAAACGATTTAATTGATAAATAATTAAACAAAAATAATTTACTTGCCCTACAAACTTCCAAGTAATTAATGCTGGGCTGGTTTAAGACTAAGCTGACATCTCCACACGCGGGTACCACAGAACCAAATATGCCATTTTATGGCATGCTTTAATTGCTAATTAATTGCGCAAAAAATATTTAATTGCTATCTAAACTTCCGAGAAATTAATGGTGAACCAGCATTTAAGACTTAATTGCTAGGAAGTTCCTTCTGTTGCATATGTGTGGTGCTACCAGCAGTACAATAGCACCTGCGGTCAACACCGTACAGGATTCAATTACTGAATTCGCCGAGAAACCAAGTGGAGGATGGTGAGCGAGGTTCATTTTCAGGGAAAATAAGTTAAATGAAGAAAAGCGCTGCGGAGCAGGGTGAAGTGATTGCACCAATACTTCTGGACCCTCTGTCCCTCGTCAACAGGAGAAGGCAGCTTTTAAATTGAACAGGGAAATTTAAGAGGCTGATACCCACACTCGACGCAATTATCCATGACTCGGAGGTAATAAACGTTGCTAAATGACCGAGCTATTTATGCACTTGAAATCACTTTTTCAGAATTTTTGGATACAGCACAGCTCCTATTGTTTCCTCTTTAGCATTGTCCAGAGTTCAAGAGCCCTCACAATAAAAATATATTAGAAAAATTCTGCTAATAAGCCTTCTCCTGCTTCGGGCTTGCTAACCATAAATCCGATAACAATAAGAAATTGCAAATTTCCTTTGAGCAACACTTTATACATGAATTAACCATTTCTTATAATTTCAAACTCTTTTACCATTACAATTTTCAAAGTTTTCTCAACTCAAGGAAAATGTTTTATTTAATTTTCTATAATATATATATAAAACAAGACATGTCGATATATTACCGCTTGAAATCACATCATGGGCGTTATTTTTCCGAAATCTGTCTTAGTTTTTTAGCGTAATTTTGAATAACTGGCAATTTTCCAAAAATCCATTAACAAGGTTTTCTCAAAAACAGCTCCACATTTTTTTCTTTAAACTTTTTATACAGGCAAAGCTCAATGCTCTGAATCATATGACATGCTTTTTTCATTAGGCTTTGAATTTTGAAAAAGTACACATATACATAACATCGAACATCTCCACTGTACTTAATGTGTTAGTCCCGAGCAATTAAAGAAATAATGGATTTGTGGACATTCAAGCTTTAAATTAACTCTATTGCTGTTTCTCAAAATATTAAAACTTTTCAGATAATGAGCAAAAGTGATTCATTTTCAAACAAAATGTTCTCAAAAACGACTCTAAAATTTTTTTGTTGTTGTTGTTTTTATAAAATGTATCACTATTTTACCATGATAACAAATTATGTTGAACTAAATTGTAACTTATATTGTGAAACATATTATAAGCCTTATATTCAGTGGACTTAAAAGCTATTGTTGGACATGTGATCACTAAAATATGGTCGTGATGTTACAAGCGGTTTAGTGAAGAGTTTTGCAAGATATACATGATCATAACTTATATTCCAAGAACTTATAAGTTGTAAAATAATTATTACAATAAATGTAATATTTATTTTACAGTCTACATATTATTACGTGAAATTATTTTACGTCATATTACAAATAATACGAAAAAATATGCTATTGTATATGTGCTACAACTAGTTTTTAAATATTGAATTATCAGGTTGAAAGAAATCTCTTCCCACAAAGCAAAGCTCCCTTGGATCTTATTGTCCATGTTTATTTAATTTGGAAAAGCATAACAATAGCTTTACATGATAAGAGAAATAACAGGTACCAACAAAGATAACTGTTTACGAGCTTGGAGTAGCTTCACCGCACCTACGAAATCCCTCTCATTCCTTCTGACTTTTTCTGATCAAACCAATGAATCACGTAAAGCTCCTTTTGCGTAATCAAAATGAATCATAACAGATAGTATGTTCAGGATTAGATAAAGTGTTGTTAACAACACGTCAAATACAACTGCGAGCGTCTGCAACTCAGCGTTGCGTTTCATTTGCGAGCATTTTTAAAATTTCCTTTTCAGTGACACTTATGGCCGATGTTACTCACAGGCTCAAGTTTGAGTTTGGGCCATTCCCTTTTCCGCCAGTTTCGATCTAGTTTAGCGTCGTGTTATTCTCTTTTTTGTGAGCGCAGAATGTCGCTTAGCCGCTTTCTGCACTGAAACTCGGCGCCCCTCGTTACTCGTTGCCTAGCAACCGATATCCCGTCTATTATAAGGCTGGAGTTGGTTGTCAAGCGAGGGGGGGCTTTGGCCTGTCAGGAAGGAGGGGAGAGAGAGCGGTCGGGCTGCGTGGTAGGAGGAGAGCGCTCGGTAGAGTCTCGCCTCGGGCATTGCGAAAGAGAGGAGCGGAGAGACGAGAGGACTGAAGAGAAAGCGAGCTGCCCGGTGGTGGGGAAATGGGGCTTAGAGAGGCAGACGAAGAGAGAAAATGAAAATGGAAACTAATTTAAGCCCGACGCGCCCTGAAGTTGGATGACCTGGGGTGGGAGGTGGAACAAGGACGCAGCTAGTCCAATTTATTATCTGCATTTAACATGACTCCGATAATAAACCAACTTTTGTGGGGCGTGGTTGTCGGGAGGAGAGGAAAGAGAGAGAACTACGAAAGCGCTACCGCGCATGTTCACGTTTGCTCGCCTGTGACGTATTGGCGTGTATAAATGTTGAGCTCTGTGCATTAGAATATTAATGTTTTCTGTATACCTGACACAATGCACTTCCGGAGAACTATATTTTCATGCATTTAATTACATTCCAGGGAGATCGATAATCGGTATTCTTTATGCCCTCTTTCGGTTCAGTAGATGTAGTAACTGGTCATGCATCGACCAGGTCGGGGAGCTTGATGGCGGATAGCATTGCCGTTTGGATTATGTCGATACACTGAAAGAGAGACTCTTAGCAACATCAAATACATACCAAGTACGAATAAATAATCACTCCATTTTGTAGCCGCAATTAACATGTGTGAAAATATACACGCCATCTCTGGCCTTCATTTGGTATCATGGAATAAATATCTTCCACAATTACTACACGCTGACTGGAAAAAAACAAAGCAGCATTCATTACTTCTTTCTTCCTTGTGTATTTGTATTCAACCATTGTAGGTTCTCTCTACCTTCCCCCTCGTGGCCTTGTCAACCGATTCCCCCACCACATTCCCAAACCCGTGTATTAATGTAGTGGTGTGGTGCTGGGACGAAAGAGGGGTGGGGATCCCAGAAATGTTTGCTAAGCGGTGATGGAACCTAATGGTGTTCGGTCTCGGTGCTGAGGACTTCGCGGGTGTTCGGAGGTGCTCGTTTTCCCGTCTCTTTGTCTGTGTGGGGGGGTTCGTGTACAGCAGACCAGCGATTCTCAGCCTTACGGACATTCTCCTCAGCGCTCTCTCTCCGTGTCTCTCCCCCCACTCTTCTCGCTACATAGCCTTCTGGCATACTCTGTCCCACACTGTCTAGGATTCAGGACGAGTCCATTCCCCGGTCATGGGGGTTCAGATAAAGTTCACCGAGTAGCGCGAGTAGTTGCACACGGAAAAGTGGTAGTATTTGCTGTGTTGTTTAGGTATTTGCCTTCCGGAAAACGTTTCCGGTTATTGTATTCCACTTGGTGATATACCGTTATATCCACTTGCTGGTTGTAGCAGATGCTGACAGTTTACTTTGTTGAGCTCAGTCCCTCGCACGCAATGAACGTCACGTCTACGGGTAAGTTAAAATATTAAATATTAAATTTAGGAGATTTTCTTACAAACGTAGGATTGCTGTAAGTAGGCATTCGCAGCATCTGTCGTGACTCATCGAAACCGCCTTCTCTGATAATTGAAGGTCAAATGTTAATCAACCCGGGACCTACATCCTAGGTTGTCTGTAAACGTACTCAAATAAACGGCCATCTTGATTCCGATTGACAGGCGTAGTGGGGAACTTGGTTTGCGCAACTTTTTTTGGGGGGGGTGGGATATTAACCGTCCAATAACAGAAACGTGAGTTACGAGTGGGTGGAGTGGGATTGAAATGCCGTGTGGTGATTCATGATGGAAATGGATTATTCAATGCGGAAAAGTATTATCCGCACACCGCCGGATTAATATAATTTTTAAAGACCTAGAAATGTCATTCTGTTTTATTTAATGAGCAAAAATGTTTGGAGAAACTGATATTTTTAAATCGGTTGTGTTGCAGGTTGGCCATGAACCAGCTACTTGCTGATGATGCTTTGGGTATAGGTAAGTTAAATTTATGGTTACAAACATTAACGTTTTTATATCGCTATAAGCGAGTGTGTTTTAAAAATTCAAGTTAGTCGATGTGTGGATTCTTGAACGTGTTTACTTGATTACAACGAACGTGCGGCGAAGTATGCATTCTTACGATGTCTGTGGCTTTAACAGTTGACAAACTAAAGTACACGTGATTCAGTTTGTTAATTTAATTTGATTACTTGTGAATAAGATATTGTGTTAAGTGGGTATACAGTTATTTGGTGCCTACTAGTAGGTCTTATAGTAACGGTCGAGCGACGGGGAAATAAAAGAATTGTTATAATTATCTGGTTTATCTGTGTAAAAATATAATGTCGCCGGTGCGTCAGTATTGAAGTTGAACTTGTGTCGTGTAAAATAAATATTTTTAACAACGGAGCCACATTTCAACTGTATGGAGTTTTTTAAAGGCAGTTATCAGATCAGAAATAATTTTTGACATCACTATCAATTGGTTAGGTACGCAAACTTATGGTGGTAATTATTAATTGATTTAATGAAGTAACAGCATCTATTAAACGGATGGGATTTGAGTGTTTTGACACATCTTATTTACATCACGACATTTATCTTTTTACTATTGTACTTTGTTATTACAAATCATTCGTATTGTAGTTTTTGACAGTAACAATTTTTCAGCATTTCATTTAAAATAGTTATTGCTCTAGGAGTAGTTAGACGTTTGTTGACTACTGAGAGCAGGACTTGTTTTATTACATACAGGTCATACTAACCTATTCTTTGATTAAATATTTTAACAATACAAAATTCTAAATTTCTGTGAATTATATCTAACATGATTTTCCCTCATTGATTAGTGTGAATAGTATTTTGTAAAAAATAATAGAATTCAAGAAGAAAATGTGTGACTGGAAATTCGTATAACCTGGAACTGTGTAAACAGTTTGAAATAAATAGAGTTAAAACACAAACATTGTTTAGTACATTTTTTAAAAATTAATTTTAATGCTTAGTATATTATGTACTCATTCTCAATTGTTTTAGTCTACATCATTAATAATATTTGAATAACGTATGTTTTTATACTTGGTTAAATATAATAAATATTAAGAAAAAGAAGGAAACATGAAAATGTTTAGTGCTGCCTCTTTATTATTAATAAATACATGTAGATTATTTATTTTTTGATATTTTGTTACTAAAAGCGTAGTGAAAGTGCTCAAATTGTAGAGAACTTTTTATAGAGCTATTTCCGGCTAATTGCTATTTCTTTCATTCATGGGTCCAAAATCAATATCAAATTATTATTTTGGTATTGCAGTTTGTTTTTCTCTAAGCTTTAATAAATATTCCTAAAAGGTTACGTGGTAAAAAGGTATAAGGATTATTAAGGAAAATGCAAATACATTAGGAGAAAGAATGGAGAATAAGCAGCCATAAGGCAGGAAGGTATCTGCAAATTCTTTACAAGAAAAGATTTAGGAGCTTTTGGAAAGGTTATATTTTAAATTTGGAAAAGTTCCTAGATCAGATAGCTATTTTATTCAAATTGGTAAAAATAATTTTTTGTATCTATAATTCACATAGAAGAGCCTTTGTCGCTTTCAGACATAAGGTTACGATCTACAAATCTACACCAGTTATTATTCTTTATTTTGGGTAAATATTATTTTCTATTTAATGTAATGTTGAGACCAAAGTCTTCTGGATTCATAATCAGCCTTGTGCGGCATCATTCAGCACATTGCTGCGACTTCTACTTAGCTACCTCTGCTAGTAATAAAGATGATGATAATAAGAATAAGAATATTCATTCTTTGAAAGTTGCGCTATCACACTTTTTACTTATACTAATTTGGTGATTGAGTGAATTTGCTGTGTGAGTTTTGATTATTATTGCCCTCACATTATGTGTATTAAATTCACATCAAGTTGAAAAAATAGAGCAAATACTTTTTATAATATGTTGTGTGTTCCAGTGAATTTGTTGCTTTTCAAAAATAAAAATATTATCTGAAGTTGTGAAATTTTATAAAATATTAGATTCCCAAAAAGTAACTGGTAACAGCACAAATTTCAATTTTTATTTACTATTTCTTTGAAAGCATCTGGATATAACACAGAATTTTTGAAAATTATTAGTAGCTTGATAATTAATTGAGTTTCAATTTTCTTTGTTTATAATTTCTGGCATTACAGGTGTTCTTATTTTGGTTTATGTTAATACTAGAATTTTGTTTCAGATTCTTATCAGAATGAACTCTCATCAAAATCAACTGTAGATGAGGAAGCTTCTAACAATTTTGATACCCAATGTTACTTCTGTCTTGATTGTCGAGGAGTATCATTTGAAAATGCAAATGACCTGGAAAAACATCTTGTTGAACTACACCTCAAAACTGCAGAAGTGCTCCTGCAACGACTTACAGATGCAACAATACGAAGATTAAATCTAAGAAAAAGAAATCCAAGGAAAGGAGCATTTGCACGGAAACGTAGTCATTCATATTTGGTACCTCGTGTGAAGGGTGGAAAGAAGGGCTCCCTTAAATTGAAACTGAAAGTTTCAGGTAGTGATTCTAATTCATTCGAAGTTGTTCCTGTGCAAAAAGTTCTTGTTGGGCCAGGGGAATTGTATCCTTTAAACGGAGGAGTTTTAGGTGAAGTAAAAACGGAGCATTTTCTGACCGAGGTGGAGTGGGAAAAGAGTCTGGAAGGTTCGAGTGAGCAACCAGTGGTTGCTAGTAGTGGGGAAAGGACGTTAGATGAAGAACCCAGTTCCTATGAGAAAGAGAATTCTGTGGATTCAAATAAAAGTAATGAGGATGAGCCTGGAGATGACATAGTGAATGCTGAAGATGTAGATGACAATAAAGACAATGAAAATGGTGATCATCTGACAATAGGTAAAGAAGAGCTTGACATTCCTCCTTCCCCTGCTCCTACACCCTCAGCAACCCCTCTTCCTAACTTACCATCTCCCTCAACATCGCCCATCCCAGAGCATAGTACATCCCCGCTTGGAATTTCTTCAGACCCTGCTACAGAAGCATTAAATTCGCCATCTAATGAAGAGTTAGAATCAGACTTCCTCCCTTCTGTTAATGAGAGTGAATTTTCACCATCACCAAACATGGTTGAAATTAATAACTCCTCAGTGGCTGATGTTCGGTCCCCAGCTTTTCCAACTACTTCATCTCCTGCAACTCCTTCAGGCCAACCTACCCCACCATCAGAACAACAAAACTCACAGTCAACGGAAGATGATGAAAATTCAGATTCACAAGATTTATCCAATGCGGAGCAACTGCCTTGTGATGATACTTCAGATGGTGCTACCTCAAATAATTTTGTGTGGACTGATGTTAGTGCTAATGATGACATTGCTGGAGAGGAATCAAATAGTCAGACTTTGGAAGAAAGAGATCCCTTACTCCTAACTGATCCTCCTGCAGATCAAGGTGGGAATTTGCAAGGAAGTCCTAATGCTGGATCTATTGATGGGAGTGATCAGTCAATTCTTAGGGGATTTCTCTCTGATCAGAATGCTGAAAGAACTTCTGCTTCTGTGTCTGGTGTTAGTGGATTAGAGAGCTTTAATTTAGGTTCCGAGTACATATCTTTAGAACGGCTAGGTGACAATGCAGTTATTTGTGATGTATGTGGTGAACGTGCAGCTGATCAAGCTGCTTTACAAGATCATAAATTTCGGGCTGGACATTTCAAATGTTCACAACCCGAATGTGGTGGTGTTGTTTATGCAACTGCTGATGAACTAATAGCTCATCAACAGACCGTTCATGGTAGTCAACAGTATTCACAACAAAATATTTTAAACCAATCACAAACCATTATAAACCAGCAATCTGCTCCTGTGCAGCAACTGGTTCAACAAGTGCAAAGGTTACCAGTTCCTCAAATGTCAATGCAAGCTTTAAATAAAGGACAGCCACCTCATTCTTCTGCCATGCCTCAGCAGCTATCTTCAAGCATGGTTACTTTAATTCCATCTCAGCAAACGCCGTATCAATCTGCAGTGTGCCGGCCACCTCCATTGTATCCTGCTCCTGCTCCCAATATGATGCAGCAACATCAGGCCCCCCCTCCATATCCTGGTCATCAACCTCAACATGTTATGTTTCCTCAGCCATACCCTCCTCATAGTCAGTCTTTTACTAGTAGTCCCAGACAAGCGATGCAAATGCAGCCCAGACCGTATTCAGCTATGATGCAACAAATGAATCAAAATACAATGAGACATCAAGCTCCTAGAGTTCAAGTATCCAACATACAGCAAAGGGGATTAACAGCTCAAAATGTTGGTTCTCCTGGAGGGATTGGCTCAGGAGGAAAGCGGCCAGTTCAAAGTGCACCCACTACTCCAAATAAGCAACGCCGCATGGATATGTTAATACCAGATAGACACGATGATGCAGACTGTCATGTAATAGCTATGCAAAAACGTACAGAAAGCGGACCTGTAATTACAGGAGTGCAGGGCTCTGGACCTGCTGCTCAGGCCCCTGGTCGGCAGTCATCTCAGGCAGATTCGACAATCAATTTAACAGATTCTATTACACTATCTGTGAGAGGGCAAAATGCAAATCCTCCTAACGGTGGCAAAGGTAGGAACGATGCAAACAGTGTCGCAAGCTTGTTGGCTACTCGGGGTATTACTGTTACTCCTGCAGGTGCTACGGGTAGAGGTAATTCAAATCAGGTGCAGGTTCAATCCCCACAAGCTCAACATAGACAAGTATCCAGTCGCCAGCCAGCAACATCTGTTCCTGCTCCACCTCCACAGCCTGCACCTCAGCCGGTTACTACATTAAATTTGAATTCAGCAATTTCAATTATTCCTACAGCTTCTGCAAGGACTCCACCTAAGCCACAGCAACTCCCTCAGTCTCAACAGCCTGGAGGCAATTTTGCTGTTCCCCAGGGACGTTCAGCCAATAGACCTCAACAACAAGCTCAAGTAGAGCGACCACCTCGTCCGCCAACTGTGGATTTGACCGGCGATGGACCACCACCCCCTCCAGCTTTGAATCCCATGGGTGGTCGAGGGAGAGGAAGAGGTAGAGGAGGAATTCCTGGACGCAATGTTTGTCAACTGTGTGACAAGCCATTTCCAACTCTAGATGCTTTGAATCAGCACATGGTCACCCATCGACCAGGAAAATTGCCATTTAGGTATGTATATTATTGTGTACTACATTTTACTTATATCCTTCCTCAAACTCTTCTCTAGATCTTTCTGCATTTGAATTCAAGAGAACTACATTTTAAGTATTATTTAATGTTATATCATGCTGTCTTGATCAGTGTGTGGTGTACATTCAGTTTTCTGTTCTTGTGATGCAATAGTATTTGTTTTCATATGCTTTGTAGTATTTTCAAAAAAAATATTCCTAGATTCGCTGTAAATGTTTATCGTCATGCTAATTAGCAAACCTTATAACTTCATTATTCCTCCTGTATTTTCTGTTTACTTCATGATAAAATATAATTATGAAAGAAGAGTAATAAATAAAAGTAAGTAACTAATTGAGCATCTTGACTAATTGAGCTCCCCAGAATTCATAAGGTCAACAAAAAAGGAAACTGAAATTCTGCGTCTCAGCTGTGTTTATTCTTTGCATTGCGGAACTGTCCAATCTGGAGTTATGAGGTATGCTTATTAGTATGATGTTATGTTAAATGTTAAGTTTTGTTGGTTTGTATTTTCATTTATATAAACTTTTCTCTAAATTTATTCAGAGATTGTGTTTTATGTAACTACACATTTCTCTAGTTGCACAACTTGAAAATTGGAATGTGTTTGCTTCTTGAACCATAAAAATCTTCCTGCACAAACATTTCATATTAAAGAGCCCAAATTTTTAAATGGAATTTGGGATTTAAACAGAATGGCACAACAAATTACTTGCTGGTTATTTTTCTGGGTCAATAATCAAAATTATACAATATTTGAAGTCATGTTAAATTTGTTTTATGTCAAATATGTTGCACATAGTGTCAAAGTATTTAGCAAAGCTTTACTGTAAGGTATTTCTTTTTCATTCACTTCTTCATTGTTTGTTTCATTGTGCTTTATGTTTGAGAGTCAATGATGACATTGACAATGGTTTCCTGGCAACGTGCAATTGCAGCTACTTTTCTAGTGATGTAAATAATCCTTGCTCCCACCAACTTGGAATGCAAAAATGAAGGGGATAAAGAGAGTGTCATACCAGCTGAGAGCATTAATGGAACCAAAAATAAAAATTTAATGTCTTTAAAAGAATCCACACAGTATAGGTATTGTACTGAACAATGTAGCTAAAATGAATGTTCAAAGTTTGGTATATACTGCAGATTGACTGAGAAAAATCATGCAACATGCATGTGCGGGGGGCAGGAAAATGCTGCAACGCTGCTTCTGCGTAGACTCAACTGTCAAGCACAAAAAGTACAATGGTAAAACCAAACAGATTAGGTGAAAATTCAACAGAAGAATGATGACCCATGTCTGAAGACAGAGGGAAAAGATAACCAACATAGCACAATAGTTGCTTGTAGATCAAACCCAAGAAGCAGGAATTCCAAGAAAGAGAGAAGATATAACATTTTTTTAAGAAATTTGAACTGCAAAGCATCTTGTGAATATGAAATATGCTAAAAAACAATAGTGTGCAAATTATATTCATTATTTGTTAAAAACTTATTACTGCACTTTATACACTCTCATATTATCATTTACCATGAATTAATGTTGCTGAAGTTCTTTTGAGTTATGAAAATGATAAAAAAAATTATGATTTTATGCATCAGCAAATAAATGATAGATTAATTTTAGAAATTTATACAAATAGTTTTAAATAAAAAATTACTTGATAAATTAAGTTAAGGATGTAAAAATCATTTAAATATATAATTATATTAAATCATGATGACAGTAGTCCTTCATGCAACAAAACTTTCTTTAGTTTCCTCCCCAGCAACTACAGCAACGTTTTGTAGGCGAGATGCAAACTCAAGTTAACTTATATTCCCTCTAATGACAAGAGGAAATGGTAGGAGGATCCTCTTAGGGTATTGATTGAAAGATTCTCATCAAACAGCAAAAATAAATTTGTTATTAACCGTCGTGAGAGGCTTACAAAAACGTATGCAACTGGTAAAAGTATTTACAAAGCTAAATAACAATGTAAAATAAAAACCTCCTCTAGATTTGTTTTATTTCCTGTGTCCACTGAAAAATGACAGTTTTGAATGTAATGTATTAAATATACTTTTTGTTAAGAAGCTCTGAAATTCATAAAATGAGAAAAGGATAGTTAAAAAGTTTATTACCATGTAGTTATAATGTATGTATTGCTAAAAAAAAAATTAGTGTTAAATTAAGAATTACAATTACTATTAAAATGTCTCCTATAGTGAAGAGTAACTTTGTCAGAGGATACAGAAAGAATTGTTATTAATCTGAAAGCACTCGTATTATAAAAAGTACAACAATGTAACATTTTTCGTAGTTACATGAAATGTTGAATTTTTATTTATTTATGCCAAAAAAAAAAGTTAAAACTTGTATGTGACTTGTGATGGCAGAGAGTTAATTTGAAGTTACATTTATGTCCAGAAGCAAAACATCTCAGCATTTGCTCAAGGATCAGGAAAACGACGAAAACCTGCCTTTGTCCTATCATGTTTCATGATTTTAGCCTGCCTTATGACTTTTCTTAACAATGATGTGTATTTTTTAAAGTAGAGGAAATCTTGCGATAGGTTATGATGCGTAAAAATGAAAGAAAGAATTCATTTGTTTTTATATAATGTCCTTATCTGTTGTGTTATCCAGGAATTGTTTACCATGAAAATCTGGTTCTTTAAGAATGAAAAATGAAAACGCTAACGAAAAAGTGGATAAATCTAGTTGCAAATTTGGAAAAAAATCCTCCAACTAGGGGTGTAGTCACAATCCATGCTTTGTGGGTCCTTGATACCGAAAAATCGAATGACGGCAAAACCTCCGTCCGTCCATCGGTCAGCGAACAACACTAGTGGCTAAACCATTCAGCAGATTTTCTCCAAAAATGATATTCCCCAAAAATATCTGGATGATGTAATGACCCCTTCAGTTTGAGACCGTTATTTTAATTTTGGAGGTACTTTGCGTGAAGCCCCTGGGGCATTTCAGAATAAAGGCTCCATCGTTTTTGATTAAACTTTGTTGCTGGGTAGTGTTAAGTATTTTAGAGAATGTCGTATGTCTTATTTTCGTTGAATTTGTCGAAAATTTGTCTATTTTTAGACTAGTTTTGCGTGAAAGTAAGGGTCAGAAAGTATGTGCTGATTAACACCACTAGCTTTTGCAATGTATTGTAGGAGAGTTTAATTTTAAATATGTTTTTCTCTGTTTATGTTCTCTAGTTGTTATTTAAAGTTATGTAAAATACTCCAATAAATGCTAATAGAATTAAAAAATATTTATTAAAAATAGTGATGCCAAAAATTCAGGATTTTGCAAAAAATACAACGTGCTAGTTGTCATGCCCCAAAAATAGACGCAAGTGCTCGAAGGTTAATAGTTCTTAAGAAGACCGAACGTCAGGTCTATTATGCACTACAGAATCGATATCAGAACTACAGCTGGATCTCTATTTGCCCATTAGCTGTTTCTTTCATTTCTCTCCTTTGTGTATATGTACCTGGAGTGATGACCTTTTATCATTGCATTTAATCACCACACACAACACCACGGGCAAAATATCTACTAGATAAAGAAACACGATTGAGTCCTAATAATTTTATATCTTAAATAATGTCATGTATTTCTGTTTGTTTGAAGCCAACAATGGTTGGAAACCCTACTGTTTCATAAGGTGTTTGTGTTATTTTTTGTAAGAAATAACACTAACACCTTATGAGACTGTAACATCAGGTGTGTGTGTGTGTGTGTGTGTGGCATATCAATGATACAATTATTTTGAATAAATTGAATAAAATCACAAAAAAATTGAATTGATCTGATCAGCATCCAACGGATTTCGGGTGAAAAATATTGAAGTTTGTAGATTATGAAATGAAAACACATTTCTGAAACACACATTATAACCTTATGAAGGCCTTTAAAACAAAGATTTTATGTCCCATTAGAACACATGGGGGAAGTGTTGAATTGTCTTATTCTTTAAAATGATCTATTTTTGACCTTTCAGTTACATTTGTGGATACTTATATCTTACTTGTTACTATACTTGTTTCTTTTGGGTGCTTCATATGCTGTATTATTAACAGTAATTTCATCACTGTTAGGAAGGAATTAATCCAAGTTCAAGCTGACTGCTCAAAGTTGTTCTACTTCAAAGTAATATTATTTATAAATGGCTTGGTTTCAGCTAGTATTATTTATGTCCCCTCTTACATGCCAAGTGAATGTTTTGCAGCAAGGAATTAGATGTTCTGACATTGTCAGAATCAATTGTATTGAACGTTGGGAGTAATTGATAGATTGGTGTAGTCCATTTTTCTTCGCAATAAAAAATAATGGAGACTGCATGTTTTCATCAATTAGTTCATTAAACTAACTAATCCTGTGGAATGCCTACTGATTTTGGAAAAAGTTAACTTTAACCCTTTTAATGCCAGTAGAAGTATTAAGGTTGGAAGCATGAAGGCCTTTGAGGTTAAACATGACTATTTTTTAAAACTATTTCAAACCAAACCTATTTTCACCGATTTAGCAAACAAATCTCTGCCAAGCATGTGTGCCTTTTGTGATGGGCTATTTAATGATTTGTTCATCACCAGACCATATCACTTGTCTGAGAATTTTATTTCTGAAATTTGAATCAACCTATTGCAATATATTTTCTCTTATTCTATTCAATTTTATTTTACCATTATTATAATTGAAATTTAAGGAACTTGGTTATTGTGTAGCAAATTGTTTAATGTAGTGTGTAAAATATGTTTTTAATATTGTTATGATTATTACTGTATTGTTAACTTTTATTGTACGTGTATAAAGAATTGCATGTTTGTTTATTGACTAAATAAATAATATTAGTTATAAAACTTTTGCAATACTAAGGAAAAATGTGAATAAATATACAGTAGAACTCATCCCTTAACATTGCAGATTTTTGTTTCTTTTAACCAGAGCTGGGATTTTCTTGCGATTATGTATTTTGTTGCTTGCAATTTAAAATCGGGGAAATCAAGAATATATTCAAACTTACAATCTCCCCCTTGCTGTCGTCTCCTAGTTCAGCATTAGTTTCATCCCATCCACGCCCTGCACCACCCACTTGTCCTGTCCTCTTTGATCCCTCCCAGCTTCACATGGCAACGCCTGGCAACAGTGAAGCCCAGGTGGATTGGGAATTGCATTTAACTGAAGCGCCATTTAGTGGAGAGTTACAACAAAGTGAACAGCATATATACATTCTCAATAAAAACAAACTGAGATACGGCAAGTTTCATGGAAATTGGTCAAATGATGTCAGTTTATCAATCTCAGATATACCAACATCCATTTTCATATAAATAAATTAGTATTTTAATTGAATTTTATATTAAATATTTTTATATGTCTGTATTAATTTTTCATATTCTCAATGATTAGACATAAAACTACATATTTCAGTATTTTCTTCTTTGTGGGTATTTAAAAAGAAATGGCAATTTTTAATTTTGCCAAAAGTATTAAACTTAACAATTGTTTTATCTTTTTAATAATTAATTTCTTATTCATTAAGTAGTTGTAGTACAATATAAAAAGGTCATGTCTTCAAGAATATAGCTGTGAAATATCTTTGTATTTCCAATTGAAATAATAAATATAAATGTGAACATTTGTTAACTGAGCTACTTTTGGAGATAACTTTATAAAGTGATGCAACAATCATTTCATACACATAGACAGCAAGCTTCCAGGAAAGATAGAGCTTGGAATTAACACTGATGAACAACATTTACAGAAATAAATGGAGGATCTGCATTTGCAAGCTCAGTTATCATTGTGTGGAGGTGAACATGATACCCGTTTGGCCTTCCCTGGTGTGAAAATTAAAATTCTGTGACACGATTGATGAGACCTTCACGACTGAGTGCAAAACGGTACTTTGACTGGTGTGCAATAAGCAAAATAGGTTGTTCCATGAAATTACAACTAGAACAACATGCATAATGTGCACTGCATACAAAAAATTAAATTTTTAAATGTGTTGAAAAAGATGCTTATGATTAAAATCCAAGAGGTTTCAAATTCAAGGAACTCTTTGGTATAAGCAGGGCTTGATTTCTGACGGAACTCAATGGAATGGCGTTCTGGTACCTCGGGAACAAAATTGGAAAAAACAAACAAAATGCAGAGGACAAACACTTGACTGCTTCGGTATTTAGGTCGACCAAATTTCATTAAATCAGAATTTAATAAATTGCCACTGAACTGTATCATTTCTATGAACGTAATAAAATTATTAGTAAAAAACTATAAAATATCATTATAACTCCTAATTTTGTATTTCCTGTTATTATCATCCATTTGCACAGAGCCAGCTACCACTGTTACTAATTGTTATTATGTGTGACATACCATTATTAAATTAGATTGTAAATATATAACTATTTCTATTAAATTAATTATTAATTTGGAGCGTGTTCCAGAACCTAAAATTTTATAAATCTAACACTTGTTATAAGGACATCTGCAGTGCAGCAATTGCTGCAAATATTCCATGGGTTAATGCTTTAAGTGCCAGACTTCATATTTTCGTGGAAAAGTACTGTAAACAATTGTTTTTTGATCATTCAGCACTTTGTAAGAATCATTCTTAAGTGTGCTACAAGGAAGTAATGAATAACATTAGATGACATGTTGCAGATTCTATTGTATGGGTTGCTGTTGATAAAACTTCTGATGTGAAAGATCATATTACGAAACTCATAGTAGGAATGCAAAAACCATACAGCTAAGCCATGCTCAATCTCCGGAAAGAACTAGAGAAGGCAAATCACTTCTCTATTGTGAAATTTGTGAATTAGGAACTGATAATGTTGCCGGCAAAAGAGGAGACTGTGTTAGTTAACTGTTCAGATATTGCTGAATTCATGCTAAAGAAGCAGTTTAATAATAATAAAAATAATAAAAATAATAATAATAATAATAATAATAATAATAATAATAATAATAATAATAATAATAATAATAAACATGATATAGGTAAAAGTAGGCTCTTTAAAATTTGGTATTTATGGCCTCACCCTATACATCCATTTGATGGACTTAATTCATGCGTGTACATATTCTGATTACCTTTTTGACATAATTTGTATCAATTATTATCATGTTCTTTTATAATTATTGTTCTTTTTGGTGACAATATAAGAACAATGTAAATCAGTGATGAAAACTATCCCTAACCTGTAACTACACAAACTGACACTTAACTCATCTTGCACAATAATGAGGCCTTTGGCATATCAGCTGTAATAGAATTGGTCAAAAAAATCATCCTCTGAGCTAACAAAGCATAAAACTAAACAATAACCAAACGATAAATAATAGCATTGTATTAAAATACAATATTGACAGTACTTCTGCAGAATTGTCTCGCACTTCTTTAATTACATCCTCGAAAGCATTTCAAAGGAGTTGTAATCTTTTACCAGGGATTTCCTATTTTTCTATCGACGGCTTCTCCTGATACAACTTGAATTTCCCTAGATATTTCATGTTATTAGGAAATTAAAGGATATCATATTGAGAAAATTGCATGTGTTTTGTCTACACCACATATGTATTGATGATGGATCACATCCTCGATTATTAAAAAATTATGAACTTACAGCAAATAAAGAAATTGAATGTTTGGAAAATTACTTGTTATAATTATGTACTCCCTGTTTCTCAAGTGTATGAAGTCTAACAATATTTTATATTGTCATTACATTAAATATACAAACACAAAATATATATTACATTAAAATATTTTTCCTGGTGGCGGGGCGTGGCCATTCTACCTGCCACCCCACCACCCAGCTCCCCCTAGTTACACATATTCTCGTATGCAGGAAGAAAATGCCCAAAATGTTTACAATGGGATTCAGGACAGCGTGACAACCCATAAATTCCTTAATATCTCGTTATCGTTTCACGAGATTCTACTTTTCATGTAAATACATGTGATAGAGACCTTGCTTTTTATTTGTGTCATGAACTCTATAGATTTCTAAGTTGCCTTTACTGATGGTGGGAAGAATTGTATATTTGGTTGTGTCTAGCGTAGGCATTGTGAAATTTCTAAATGCAATTTTCTCTGAATAATACAAAATCTTAATATTGTTGATTATTGTTGTTGTTGTTGTTGTTTATGTTAAAGTAGAGAACATACTACCATTTATGTTAGGTATGCATGGTAACAATTCAGAGACAAAACTTGCAGTTTGTATTGGCCTAAGGTATTTCTTTTTAACATCAGACATAGGACATCTTGCCCCAGGTCCCAACTTTATTATAGTCCTGATTTATTTATTTATTTTCAAAACCTAAAAAATGCTTTTACTTCTTATTCAAATTAACTGTGTCAGTTATTTTTCTTGCATGGGGAGAACGAATTGTGTTTACTGGAAGGGAGAGGAAAATTTGTTTATAACAAAAAAAACTTCTTTTTCCTGGGCATGCTTGTTTAACATGCATAATAAACATCACACTTAATTTTAGAAATATTAGTTACCCAAAACATTAAGATAACAATATAAGGCATGCAACAATATAGATTGCAGTACATATGGTATACTTATAACAATACAGCTGAAAATTATTTCACCCAGCATTAATTATGCTTGTTACGGCATTGTTGATGTCTATTGTGATTCCAATTATTTCTTCTTAAAGAGAATAATTTTAAGAAGTTATTGCTTTTTAAGTTTTATTTAGTAAACTCTCTCGTATCAGTATTGAGAATTAATTTTTACTGAACTGGTAAGATTTTATTCGTTCTTGTTCGTTGCTTGTCAATTCTGAATTTCATATCTTGAAACACCAAAACAATATTTACTTTTTACTATTACTGAAAATTAGTATTATATTGACGTCAATAATTACTCTTAATGATATATTATTGCTGCTTTATGATTCTAGGTGCAATATGTGTACAGCCCAGTACCCTACTCAGCAAGGACTTTTACAACATCGGCAGTCTTACCACAAGGAATCCCCACAAGCACAAATGAACTCTGAATTAGTGTTGCCTGTTGTTGATCTGAAGCAGCCAGCTACTGTCAATAGATTGAACAGTTTAGGTGTTCGCCATTACATTCCACTTTCCCAGTTGTCAAATCAAAGTGGAGGAATATTGGGACTTCCTATTGTTGTATTAGATAGAGGGCAAGTTCCCTCAGCTAATGTGGCTGCCCTGGGTGCGGCCACAATTCTGACATTGGGACCTTTAAGACAGCTTCCACGATAAAGTGTAAATATGTTATGAATTCTTTTGCTGAAGTGTACTACTTTCAACTGAAATGCGTGCTGTTATTAAAATCTTACGTCAAGTTTCAGCAGTGTTTTTGTACATAAGCTATTTTTACTAAAATATTCATACATCAGTATCTTAAACAGAACTGTTGTGAAATTGATCGGCAATTGAACTATATGCTATTACTTAATAGTATTGAAACAGTGCAAACAACTTTTGTTGTAGAAACATGTTTTTTTATATTTTATATTGTATATAGAGTGTGTTAAAGAAGAAAAATAAAAATTATGTAGGTCACCATCAGTATTATGTAATTTTTAAAATTATTTTTTTTACTTTCTTCCCTAGAGCTGTACTTTTACCAGCAGAACCAGACTGTAGAAGGGTGTACTTTAAAGTGTAAGCAATGTTTTAAAAGGTTCTGCATTACTTCTCTATAAGAATTTCTTTGTTTGTTTGTTTGTTTCCCCCCCCCCCAATAAATGTTGATAATTCGGTCCGTTGTCAATAAATCAAGTAATTGTATAAATGTATTCATCATTAAATTAAGAGACACTTTCAAGGTCATAATAATAACATTCTTTCCGAGAGACAAGAACATTACCTTGTCTATTGGTAATAAAATATTTATTTGGGCAGTGTTATGCCTTAAAAATAAGGGTTTGCTTTTTCATATAGAAGATATAAGACTGATTTGAAATTATAATTTTCTTTTATAGATCTGTTGACATCGTGTTACTTTGTTTTCTTCAGTTCTCCAATTTTTCTGATAATTTCATAGGTTTGATTATTTTGAAGGTGCTAAAGGTGGGGAAAGTGCATGTTAGTAATGAAGGACTTCAAATTTTCTTGTAAAGAAAATGTTTGTAATATAAATCTATGTAATTGAGGCTTCTTAACAAAAGATTTGTATGTATTTCAAAATTTCTTATTTTATGTTGACATTTTTGTTTTCTCAAAGTAGAAAATTTTGAATGTGTTTTATGAGTGTTATTAAATAATTTTGTGTAAGATTCTCGAAAAACCATGTGAAATGACTTTTCAAGTTGTCCTATAGAAATACTAATAAGAGTTCTTTTGTACCCTTTTGTACTTTGAATAAACATTATGTTTGCATTCATATTTCACACAAATTTATGTGAATGAATTTTTGTGCTACTTGCATACTGATATTTGCATGCTAATTTCTTTTATAACATAAAATTAATACCTGAATGTAATCAGCTTAATTATTTAATGTTGTATTTTAAACAAATAGTTACACCAGATTACACATCATTGCTATTCCAAAATCTCCTTAAATGATCCCCACATCTAATAGAGATGGAAGTTTGTTAATTAACCTGCAAGTCTTGACAATTTTATATTTGTACTTCAAATCTGGTCTCAAACTTTTTAGTGTTGAAATAGGTTAGATCATGTCTGTTTTGAAACTAGTTTTTTAGTATATTGCCTGCAGAGAGACATGTTCTAACTTAACTTTTTTATAAAATCTTACTTTTTTTATGTTCATTGTTGTTCCTGTTTCAATTTTGTATTGAAAATGCATGCTTTACTATCATAAGTTGTTAAAAATTTCTCTTACATTTTGTTCTTACTCCATTTTATAGCTTATGGTTCATTCAAATTGTTCATACTCCTTCAACCAATGATTAGCAAATTACATTATGGTGTAAGTAAGCTAATCAATGAGAGGCAAGTCACAGCAGAAGACTACCTTTGAACTTCAGTATGTATGCTGATGTGAAATGGGGTAGATAAAGCGAATTGAGCAATACCATGAGTGTTTTCTGTCTAAGAAAATATTATCTTTCTATTTCTCTGTTTCGGGACTGATAACATTTTTTTTCAGCATTTTGAAACGCAACTATTTAGCTTCCTTTTTAGTTAACATTTCATAATTGATTATTGTAAATAGTTAATGTTTAGTGTGTAGAAATTGTTAGTAGAACACGTGTGTCACTTAAAACTTTTTGAGTATGATGGAATCAAAAAAGTTAAAATAATTACATTTATTTGAAATAAAATTTGGAAAAGCCGGCATCAATGCAAAGAGGTTTTGCTTTGCATTCCTGGCACATTGAGTTTATTATTTTCTCCTTTTGCTACACTCTTACTGCTGCATTATAACTACAACTAGTGATACGGCAATGGCACAGACTTTCTGATGGTAAAGTTTTCTAATTTCCTTGGTGTGATCTGGCTTTATGGTGTCTTGCCCCATCCTCTTCCCAGCTGCTATCCCGCCGCCCAATTGGAAGTTTTTTTAGTTTTGTAATGGTAGAACTGAAATATTACTTAAGAAATATTAAAGGAGAGTGATATCATCCTAGTAGCAATTTTTGTTGAAACATTTAGAGCTATTTTTAAGAAAATGGTGTTTAAAAACACAAAATTTAAAGCGCTTTTTCATAAAAAGTTTTGAGTTATCAAAAAACATATTTCAAAGTTATTTTAATCCCTTTAATTCCCAAATGCTATAAATGTTTACAATTTTCTGAAAAATGTGCATATTAACATCCTGAGATAATTGAAAAAACAAAAGAAAACAACAACCAATTTTAGGTCGTCTTAAGCTGCAATTAGCACTATATAAGATAGTTTTGAAGAAATTTGAAACTGTTTTTGGGCAATTTAAGCGTACCTGAAATGGTCGAATTTTCAGCTCATTTTCACAGAAAATGTTTCCAAATAACTTTATGACCTTGTTCATAATCATAAATACAATAATGTGAACAAATTGATACTAATGAAAATATTAATGATGTGAGAAACAAGTCCAAAAAAATAAACTTGTAATTTTTGAAAAAAAACAAGGAAAAATTTGGAGTAGTTTTTGAGAAAATGTAGCTTTTGTTATTTTTGAAAATTTCACATCTTGAGCAAAAACTACTAAAATTTTCAAAAAAAAATTACTCTGTCTTAATGAAAGAACAAAATATGGACATTTAATTTGAAGGGAAAATGTCTATCTTCAAGTTTGTAGCTCTAGAAAGGCCGAAAACATTTAAAACTTCAGCAATTTGCGAAAACTCGGTGTTAACTGAGGAAAACGGACCTATGCCAACTTCATAAGTGTACTTTACTATTATCTTTCAAAAAAAAAAAAAATTAGGAGCCATTTTCGAGAAAATTTTTGAAAAAAAGCAGTATAGATAAAAGTTTATTTTGTACAAATTGTGTTGTTTGAATTTGTCGTTTCTGTCGAGGGCCGTCAAGCTGCGATCCGAATTTAAGTTGTATGCTGGTGTCGTGTCAAGCCAACTCCCTTCTATTTCACAGGATGTGATATGCAGTTCTTTTTTCTTTGCTTCTGCTTGAAACAGTTCACATGAAACAGAAAGTCTAATGGAATAAGAAATTCTTATTTATTTATATTTTTTAAGGGAAATGTAATTTGAAAATTCCTTTACACTGTAGAACATGTTAAGCAGGAAAGCTTTCAATTTACTTTTAAATGTATGAATTGTGTTTGTCTTTGATATCATTGCCTAGTGTGTTGTAAAGTGTAATGCCCTCTATTAGGGTACTTTTTTTATAAAGTGTAGTTTCAGAGTGGGGAACGTTTAGGTTATCCTTTTGACGGGTGTTGTAGTTATGTACATCAGAATTTAAGGTAAAAGTGTCTGTGTTTTCCATGAGAATTTTCTTTGTGAAGACCAGGGATCTCAGTGATTAGAAGTAGTACATTTTCTTTCTTCACTCCTTCAGGCGACAACAGATTCATAGCTAATGCAAGGTAATATCAATTATTGAGTGGTTAGTTATGTCAAATGTTTCACAGGAAATGAGAAATTTATCTCCTGCTCGGTCTCCCCTTAAAACACCAACAACGTTTGAATTAGGAGATAGGAAAAATGTCATTGAGATAACTTATACGAAAATGGAATCATAATGATAAAATATGACCATAATATTACAAATAAATAAACGAATAGTGCTAAAACAGCACATACTTTCTCGCAGTATTACAATGTTCGCAATAGTCTCAGTATTACAATGTCGAACAATCATGTTCGACGAGACACCCAATGTTTCATTAATTCCAAACTGAAATTATGCGAAAACTACTATTACAAAAAGCCGTTAATTATCTTTTTTAAAAAGCTAAAAACAGACTTTCTCTGAGGCAAAAATCTCTATCTTCAATTTTGTAGTTTTGATTTTTTTTGCCATTTTCGAAAGAAAAAAAAAAGAAAAAGAGCAATACCCGGAAATGAAACTGACACCATTTTCATTGGTCCCTTATTACAAATGTGGAAAAAAATTAAAGAAAAACTTAGGAGTGTTTTTTGAGAAAAAATGTAAATTTCAAGCGCAAAATACGCAAAATCTACTAGCTTTTACAAAAAATTGAATATTACCTTTTTTAAAGAGCTAATTTTTCACAACACTTTATCTGAAGCAAATATTTCTATCTTCACTTTCGTAATTTTAAATATTATTTTTGGAATTTTCTAAAAATCAGGGATTTTAACGAAAATTAGTTCTACACCATTCTCTTAAACGCCCTTCGCACTATTCAAGAAAATTTAACTTAAAAAATTGCAGCTCTTTTTTTAAACATTTTAAATGGTCTGGGGGCTTTATCTAAACTACCCCTAAAAATTTAAATTTCGGTTTCAAATTTGCATTTTTCGCCTGAACGGTTTATGCGCCAGCGTTGTGCACAAAGACGGACAAACAGACGTTTTGCAGTCAATCGATTTTTCGGTATGAAGACCATACACAACATGGATTCTGAGTACACCACGAGTTAGAGGATTATTTTCTATGTGTAGCAACTGGATTTATTCACTTTTTCATTACTAGGGCCCAGCAATAAGTTATTGTTTCGAAAATTCTCAGCTTTCCTGGGCACAATTATAATTCTTTTCCTTCATTTTAGTAAGTGTGAGAGAGTAGTAATGTCATGCCGTAAATATCTCGGCCCTAGTTATGATTCATGATTTTGGGCATGTTACTGTTTAATTTCTAAGTAAATATCGTTTAAAAGCCAAATATAATTGAAAGGGGATATATTGTTAAGGGATATTCACATAACATATTCACTAAACATTATCCCGCGCGTTTTATAATAGAGAACTAAAGTTCAGCAATTTATTGTCAATCAATGTATTTATTAATTTACGTCAAAAAGTTAACAACTGACTGTGACGTGCGATAGGGAGAAGAAAATTTAAAGTTTCATTTATGTCCATAAGCAAAACAAAGGGCTATCTCAGCATTTGCTCGAGGATCAGCGAAACTGGATAAAAACCTGATCGAGATGGGGGTCATTGACCCAGAAGCTGAAGTACAATACTTGCTACAGGTTCTTTACGATTATACAATCTAAATGTTATAAAATACATTAAATGACATTGTTAAAATTAATATTACTTTCCTTTTGGGTGATCGGTGTAGTCTCTAATTGTATAGAAACAGTTGTGCAGCAGAAAAGATTTTACTTTTGTATCAAATTTAATCGTTTAATGTCACCTGGCAAGGTGTTGTAAATAATGTACATGTATTATATGTGATTTTTTGTAGTGAGCTGTTGATACTGTTACCTGATGAATATGATTACTACGTCGAGTGTTGTAGTTATAGAAAACGGCGTTTGCTGAAAATATATTCCCGCCCATAAAGTAAGTCATTTTTGACAAAAAGCCTTGATTCATATACCAAGACAAGGTAATGGTAAAATTCCTAGATTAATAAAGAGAACCTTACAAGAATCACGTAGGCGGGATTTGCTTATTATTCGTACCATTCTTTTTTGTAATCTAAAAGTCTGGGAGCTGTAAGATGTATTTCCCCAGAATATTATGTCATATCTCAGGCGGGAATGAACATTCGCGAAATATACACAACGAGAAGTGTGAAAGCTGACTGAATTTGAAAGAATTCTGAAAGCGTAGCATAAAGAACTTAATTTAGTGTTCAATTCATTTAAATGGACGTTCCATTTAAGGTTTGACTGAATTGAAAGACCCAAAAATGTTGTTACCTAAACATCAGTCAATGTCACACCGTTCTTTTCAGTGAAATACCGAGCTGTTTATTTGAAATGGAGAACTGCATTGAAACAGTTTTCTTTTCATTTACTATTAACTTGTTATTACGAACCCAATTTGAAATATCTGATATAGTACAATTTACGGTTTCTTTATTGCAAAGAATATTCGTATATTCCGCAAAGATAACTGTTCTTCCGTTTCTAATCATCGAGGGCATATCGTTTACGTATAGTATGAAGAGAATATGTCCTAAAATCGATCTCTGCGGAACTCCACCTACAATTGGCAAAAAATCAGAAATGTTCTTAGCTCGGCTTAATAAAATTATTGTTCGCTTAATTATTATTAAATTTCTTCTCAAAAAACAGACACAAGTAGATCTTTTATAATATAGATTTGAAGATCTGCGAAATTACATCTAAATATATCTTTTAAAAAAATGTTACAAGATTGGGGGGTTGTTGCACCCTCTTGCTCCTCCATAGGCAATAATCATTTGACGAGATTCATTCGAGTGTGCTGATATGGCTGTTCTAGCTTGACACACATGGAAAAGGATCGCGCAAGAAATGACCTGTGGAATTTGAATAACTGCGACTAAAATAAATAAAATTCGAGTCTCAATATGCAGATAACGGTCACGTAGGAAACTACTGAGACGGCCAGGTCTCTAGAATTTCCAAATAAAAAAGACTAGAAACGATTATTCTTTTCCAGATTACCTTACAGATCACTTTGTATTTGCGTCGGGTCCCAAAAATCCATGCGGTACCTCTTACGGGTTAATACTCGTATGTACACCCGTGCGTAGTTAGGGCCTCCTTCTGTTGGGGGCCTCCAATAAAATTAAAAATTAAAGTTTATTTTAGTTTGTGATTTTGTAAACGTATTATAAAATTACAGGTTTAAATTGCAACGATTGCAGTATTTTCAAAATCATTCTTATTGCAGATAATAAATGTTTTAACACGTTTGCCATACACGTAGTTTGGTGATGCTTAAGGCCTCACAAGCAATTAATCCAACCTCAACAAAATAATGTCGCTGTAAATTAAAACGTTACCCTAAACTTAAACGTCAACGAACATACAATATAACAAGAAAGAACTAGAGATGTAATACTCTAAGAAACGGCATGCTGCAAGATATAGGTGCCACCCACACCACGGTGCCACCCATCTCTTTCCCGCCCAAAACTGTGTTGTCTGAGTCATTTTGATATCTCTAAAGGCGGTCCATTTATTTTTTCTTTGGAGACAAAGAAATTGCTCTTTGCCGGCACTTGCGGGGGATGTTGGACTGTTCAAGCTGTGACATTAGACAAAGTCACTTTCTGGGAGTATTTGTTATGCATTGGTCTATAAATGTCTGTATTTCGAAAAATATTAAGGCATTGAACCTGAATGTTATGACGGGAGTTTGATAATTGAAGTTTATTCGTTTGTACAGTATTTGTGTTGACCGGTTCTGTTAATGATAGTGAGGTTAGCGTTTTGTTGAACTGAATTGAATTTGTTAAAAACGAGTTTTTGTTTACCATGGAACTAACTGACGACAATTTGAGAACATTGTCGGAATATCTTAAGAATACCTTGAATCCTGACGTAAACGTGAGGAGACCAGGTAAAGTAGTCACACGCTTTTTATCAAAATAACTCTGTGCTCGTGCCAGTTAAAATGTGCGTAAATACCACTTGCACAATATTGTGCATGTGCTATAAAACAACTTATAGAAAGTTAATTTATTAATTTAATTATTTCTTAAACTGAAAATGTTTTCAAAAAAGAAAATGTATTATGCTGCCCTGTTGAACAGTATTTACCTTTCATTTTGATTTTACAGCTGAGAGATTCCTTGAATCTGTTGAAGTAAATCAAAACTATGCTCTATTACTACTTCATCTTGTTGATAAGCAAGATGTTGATATCACTATAAGAATTGCTGGTGCTGTTGCTTTCAAAAATTTTGTGAAGCGCAATTGGGGCGTGGTGAGTATTTTGAATTAAACTGTGTATTGGAAATACTTTTTATTGGCAATAGTATATTTTTATGCTTTTTGCTAGGATGATGATGCTGGAGACCGAATTCATGCTCAAGACCGTGAATCAATTAAGCGGCTTATTGTTAACTTAATGTTGAGTTCTCCTGAAGCAATTCAGAAACAGTTGAGTGAATCTGTGTCAATAATAGGAAAACATGATTTTCCTAACAAGTGGCCAGATCTTTTATCACAAATGGTTGAAAAATTTGCCACAGGTAAGTATGTTAATTATGTTCTGTATTTGTTAGCAATGCAACTTGATATGGTCTTTACTACCAATTTTGTTTGTTGCCAATGTTTTACATACAAATGTTGGTCTAGACAACGATAAATTATGTCGCTATACTGACATCTCACCAGGAGTTCAATATTCTTAAATGTGTTTTATTATTTATTGAATTCGTCTTTGTAATTTTTACTTAAAAATATTTTCAGGTGACTTTCATATCATCAATGGAGTTTTGCACACCGCCCATTCACTTTTCAAGCGCTACAGATTTGAATTCAAGTCTCAAGAGTTGTGGTCCGAAATTAAAATTGTTCTAGAGAAATTTGCTAAACCACTTACAGATCTTTTTGTGGTAAGCAGTTTTTATTCATTTATTTTTTTTAAACTCTTTTTTATCTATTGACTTTATTTTTTATCCTTGTGATGTGATTGCATGTTATTGTAAATATCTTGGTTTTTATGAATCAGTTTTGGAATATTTCAGTTTTTCTGGAACCAATTGATTGTTCAATGGCTGCTACAGAGCTGTATCATGAAACCTTTAGAGCAGGGTTCTTCAACCTCGGTTCCATGGAACCATAGGGTTCCTTGGAACATTGACAAGGGTTCTGCATGTGATCACTATTTGCTCAGCCAAAACACACAAAATGGAAATCATCTAAACAAGGAATTTTTCATGTAGGAATGGGGTAGCGAAGTGTGATACTAAAATATTAGATTAATATAATATTTAAATCTGTGTAAGTGTAGCGTAATAAAGAACACAAACAGCATGGCTGAGACCGTGTATTTGAAATTCCTATGCATAATAAAATAGGAACCTTAACAATGGATCAGAGATCACAAAGACTACCTCATATTAACAATTAATAAACACACAAGAAAAAGGACCAGTAAAACTAGCATAAACCAAAATATTAAAGAATTAGAAATAGTGATCACAATTAGTCAGAATACATGAACAGAATAAGAATACAGTGATTTAAACGTTCTGTTGTGTCAACTTATTAGCAGAAACATGTGAGCTGGCTTCACTAGTAATAAAGTCAGCTAACCATTACTCGCTATTTGTGAAGTAGATTCACAGTGTGCATCAACAGTTCTTTGCTCACGGCACATGAATTTCATGCACTTTTGACTCTGGAATTTTGTTTTGTTTGTTATATAACAATAATAATCATAATTCAATGTGAAAGTTCAAAAAGATTACCTAAAATCATGCCCAGTAAATATGTATAAATTACCAGTTCACTCACAACGATCATAACACGACAATGTGCCCAGTCTCAGGGACTGTGTTTGCAGTGTCTTATCACAAAAATCACTTTTCGAACATTAACAGTATCTCATGCACATGCGAATTTTAAACTGCCAGAGGTACAAGAATGTACAGCTTCTGCACTCCAACAGTTATAAATATAAATAGTATTTTTGATAGGCCAGGTCTCGGAGACCGTGCCATACTAATGGAGGGTTTAGTAAAAATTACAATATTAATATAAATTGGATATAAAAACGCAGTTGATTATACAAACTTGTAAGATTGATCAAACAATTAAAAACTTTTTAGGATAAAACCAAAATACAGAAAAATAAGTTTGTTTTTTTTCATTTTTTGACATAAATGAAATTATATGAAGAATTTTGTTCACACCTGATGATGTTAAAACTACATTACGTTAAACATTGTGTTTCAGAATATGTGAATAATAACACCTTTTTGAAAATTTTATTCTGGGATTGCCCAAAGAGAGAAAAGGATACCTAAGTGTTCCATTATAAATATTATTTGACAATCACTCTATTGTATATTTTTTGACTGTTTAAATAATCTTGCAAATTTGAGTAGAAAAATCTGTGATTAATTTTTTTTTCTGCTACTTAAACTTGAGGTTCCTGCAAGAAAACCATGAAATCAGAGTTCCTATGGGTTTAAAAGGTTGAAGACCTCAGCTCTAGAGGATGTAGATTTTCATCTCTTTAAGGGGAAATCTTCATATATCCACTTTTATAAAAATGGATATTGGTATGTACCAGATCGATGCACTCCAACATTGTGACTGACCTCCATGGGAATTGACACATCTAAGTGTTTCTTCATGGGGAAGGTTTTCATGCTGTTCATTTTGTTGTAACTCCACTAGATGGCACGGAAACATAAGATGGTACTTCATTCTAATTCAATTTTCATTCCAACTGAGCTCCATCTGGGCTTCATTGTTGTTGGACATTAACACAGGGCTAGGCTGAGGAGGACAGGGCGTGCAGGAGACAGAGGGGCAGAGCTATAGAGAGACGGAATCAGAGAGAGAAAGAACAGTACGTCTGCCAGGTTCTGCTAGTATTTATATAAAGTATTCTTACATTTGTACTATTTTGATCTTCATAAAGATGACAGGGTTTTTTTGATATTGACCTAGGGACCTCCATTTCTGTAGCCATCATAATTGGAATTATACAAAAAATTCTCTCTGGAAGAAACATTGCAAAAGACTTCTCATTTCCATTTAAAATTATCACAAAATTATATAACTTGATATCAAATTATACAAATGCAACTGTTTATCTTGAAATAATGTAAGACGTAAACGCCAATTTAGTAAACTAAATGAGTCATGAGTGTTGCAACCATTGCATTGCATTCAACGTCTGTCTGTTGATATAAATTATGAAATTAAAGAAAACTAGTGGTTCTAAAACACCACATACTTTCTCACCCTTAGTAACAGTTGTACAATATTATTATAGTGCAATTTCTGGCTTTATCAACACATCTCAATCAATGAGCACTAACGGTAATAGGCACACATTTTCTTATTGATTCTTGCTAAAAACACTGTTCTTGCCATAAATGGAACTGTTTTTCATTTTTCATTGTGGTTTTATGAAAGTTCTTACAAGGCATTCTTTTTGGAACACTATTGCTTCTGTTTAGAAAATAAAAATATTTTTGGTCATGTCTCAATGCATACATATTTTCGATTAAGTTAATGTGAATTGGGTAACTGACTTTCCATCGATGAAATTTACTTTGAACTTTCTTTGTCAAAACATCACTCACGGACTTCCCTGAAGGGACTTCTCTGTACTGTAATCTTAATTTGTAGCTGTTATTGTATCATATTGAACACTATTCTTTAATTGGTAGAAGTCATTCTCGCTGAATATTAGTCCTAAACAAACAAAGCATAAAATAAAGTATGGGGAATCCTTACAAATCAGTGTAGACACTGTTGCTAGTTGCTACAATGAGCAAGGTGTCATACTTGTACATAAATTTAAAGAAATCATCACAGAATAAGAAATTAAAAATTCAGTGCTCATTTGACTTTGTCCGAAACATAGATGCAATAAATTTATATAATGAAATGGTTCAAATTTTTACAAGAAATTATTTATTGTGAAATTTTGCTGACCCTAATTGTGCTGCCCACTGTGGGTCACCCCTACCACCCCCACTACGCTATACCACTGCCATTCAGTCTGACACTTCAAATTCGTTAATTGCTTTCTCTTCAAGAACTATGAAGTAAATTATTCATAGTTTACATAAACTTTTCAATTTATACACTTTTTTAGGGATTGCACAAGTATTTTTTAGTTTTTCTGAAGAGAAACCTGATGGTCGTTTGTATGGTCAAAATCATTTCTGAACTAGCAGGTCCATTATTTTGTCTTTAAGACGACCTTATTTTCATTTACAAATACGTTGAAATGATATCCAAGTAATACTCAAAATTATATATTACGCAGTTTTTATGTGTATTTATAATTAGATATTATTAATTATTTTAAAGTAAGGTAGATTTGTGTTGAAAATGGAACAATCATATTATTTCCCAGCCATGTCACCCCATCTCAATGTGGAAATGAAGCGTTTTTTTGGAAAAATACAATTTTTTTTTAAACCCTCTGAGTTAAGTCTCAGAGCTGGAAATTTATACTGAAATTTAGTATCTTTACAATCTTTTACTTGTGCCAATTTCAAAATTTAATGTCCCCCCCCAGCAGATTAAAGTTCAAAAATTTGGAAAATCCTAAAAATACCAATTTTTAGGAGACTTTAATTTTTAAGTAATATGCTAGTTATCATTGATATTTTATGTAAAATAACTACAAAGTTATGAATAAAACCATAGAAAATTTAAGGCTGTAACTATTCCTTCCTAGAAAAAGTATTCTCTGAAAATCAAAATTTGTTCATTTGCATTCAATAGTTTTGGTTGCAAATATTACCCAAATAAAAACATTTAGATAAATAAATTACACTTTAATTTGTAGGCCAGAGTTTACAGAATCCAATGCATTGTAGTTTAAAAAGCTACAACAACCTAATACTGAGTAAATATCAAAACTGTAAATATCTTCAAACCTGAAAAATGGCATGCTACAATTACAATAAATAAATTTAAAAAAACAAACAGAGCAATGCCAGACATTTGTGCAATAAAATGTAAGTAAATGGTGAATATGTACTTTACCTATGCAGTGTGATATGGATGAAGTTAAAGTTTTTGTAATTGAAAATTGGTTGATAAAATACATTGTAGGAAACTTTTCAAAGCATTTGTCAAATTAATTTAATAAATTAAAAGAATTAAAAGTTGGTAAAGAGGAATACAATAGAGAAAAAATGAAAGTAGTGTAAAATTGATATGAAAGTACTAGATAAGTAAAAGATATGAAGATAAAGTACTAGAAGATGAAATAATGTCATATGGTCATAAAGAAACTATCTTAATCTTTCTAATTCATGTGCCACCTTAAATTAATTACTTTCTACAAAATAATAAAAAAAGATTTTAAATGGCATCTCGAGCAAAATTTTGCTAATGAATGAAATGTCATTCCCAGCAGGGGAATTCCCACATTCATGCTGAGAACTAAGTTTGCCTAGAGCAAAGAATTTCAATCCATATTTATTCTTGGGTGATAATGTTTTTAGGAATTTGAGACAAATGATTTTTAAAAAAATAGTGTATTCAGATATGTTCTGTTATTTCCTAAAGAAATTAGAATGAATGTATCTTCTACCTGAGAAATATGTATTTACATGTAAATCCATTCCCTATTGTTAAATGTATAGGCATTGTTGGGTTACTTCTGTAATTTCAGAATAGTTCTTTAACAATATACTGATATTTAAATCCTTCATGCCCTAATTAACTAGAAGGTGATCAGATCAATTAGTTCATTCGTCACAAATATAATGCGTAACATTTTTTGAAGTCTTAAATCTTTGCTGTATCATTGTTGAATTTTAAAAATAATTATCATTGAAATATAAGTATTCCCCTTGTATTGTTTATATATTATTTCTTTTCTAGGCTACAGTTAATCTAACCACTGTTCATGCTGGTAATAACGAAGCTCTGAAGGTTATATATAACTCTCTTGTTATTATTTGCAAAGTATTTTACTCTCTCAATTTCCAAGTAAGTGAAATGAATCAAATTGGATTTAATTACAGTGGTGCATAGGTCTAAAGGTGAATGTTTTCAGGATTTGCCAGAATTTTTTGAAGACAACATGGAAACATGGATGACACATTTTCACTCTTTACTTACAGCCGATATTACATGTCTGAAAACAAGTGTAAGTGCAATTTTTGGTAAGATACTATTTGAATGCCTGTAAAAATAAATGTACTTAAATCAGAAAGTAAGAACATTTGTTTCATACATTTATTAGTTCAGGCAATACTACATGTAATACACAGACAATGGGATATCAAGATTATATGGTTGCCACTCATGTTCAAAAGCTGTAGGGGTACATAAAATTTCCCACTTGAACATTTTAAACAAGCATTGTGTTGGTGCAGTAGAACATGGGCAAGCTTCTTTTGTGGGAGGGTGGACACGTTCTGGAAAACTAAAATTCAGTTGTTTCATTAGAATTACGAACATTTTTGAATCAACACTCATATTATCAATAATCTTACTTAGAGAACATAAAATTTGGGAGAAATTTTATGATGCTGGGGAAGTGATGACCAGCTATTCTTATTTTGACCAACAAACGTATGCTGTATGTAAGTTTGGATTTCACTAGAGAGTTATAGACTTGTTTGCCTTTGAGAAATTAAAATTTGGCAGCTTGATATTTCATGAAGAGTAGTAACGAAAGAGAAATGTTTACTATATAATATGCGAGACATACAACTTTTGATAATAAATTATGCCTCTTTGGTTTCTGAAACTTTCGGTTTCTATTATTTTGAAAAGATAAGTTTTCTGTTGACACGGTGATTTTAGTAGTAACTGAAATTAAAACAATTTTCAAAAAGGGAATCCAGAGCTTTGGAAAGTATAATGATATTCTTAAGCAAATATTTTTGCTTTGAGTGTTAGATTAATCTTAATGTGTGTTTTTACAGTTTTAACTTGACTTAGTGTTCTTGTTTCTTAATTCTAAAAATGCACCACTAATATAATTTGATTTCTTGTTGAATAGGATGATGAAGAACCAGGTTTACTTGAACAATTGAAATCACAATTGTGTGATAATGTGGCCTTATATGCACAGAAGTATGATGAAGAATTTCAGCCTTACCTTCCACAATTTGTAACAGCTGTGTGGAATCTTCTCGTCTCCACAGGACTGCAGCCAAAATATGATTTGGTCAGTATGAGTAAACCTTAACGTTATTAGAGAGCTGACCTGGTGGCCAAGGTTGCTGAGAAACAAGTTCAGTGACAACCTCTGTTTGCCATGTCACTGGTTTGAGTACTCATATCACTGATGCACACATACTGGTACAAATACTCATGATTGTTTGCCTATGGGTTGTGGAATGATGGTTTTGTATGTGTGAAAGTAGTTTTGTTGTCAGAATGCAAGTTTTCCCTTGCTTATGTTTGTTTTATCTGATCTTTAATCAATTGAATGAATTGATCCGTTTGCAAATATCTAATGTAATATGAATTTTTGAGATGCTTCTTATCAATTATCTAATTGATATTCATTTCCTATTTATGAAGAAAAATAAATTCTTTGCTTCTCTTTTATCCATTTTAAACATATCATAATACTAAAAGGAAATGTCCTTTCACAGCTTGTAAGCAATGCTCTTCAGTTCCTAGCCACAGTTGCGGATCGATCTCATTATCGGCATCTATTTGAGGATCCTGTGGTACTGGGAAGTATTTGTGAAAAAGTGGTAATACCTAATATGGAATTCAGAGGTAAAATTGTCTTCCAACATACGTTTTCTGCGAAGGTCTGAGTATAATAGTTTTCCAGTGAATGAAAATGTTCCTGTCTTTGATTTCAGCATCCGATGAAGAGTTGTTTGAAGATAATCCTGAAGAATACATTCGTCGTGACATTGAGGGCTCTGATGTGGATACTCGAAGAAGAGCTGCATGTGATTTAGTAAAAGTACTGTCAAGATATTTTGAAGCAAAGATGATGGAGATATTTGGTCAATATGTGCAGGTACAGGAATGGTGTGGTTTATTCTGGTATTGATATTTGTCCTCGTTTGGGGATGCTCATGTGATACACTCTTGCATACTACATGCATAGCATACGGAAATAACATATGTATGTGATATATAGATGATATGTATAGTGCGTGTAGTGTAGTGAAAAATGACTATTTTTCAACAGAGAAATTCGTATTGTAGATCTTTGATACTGAAAAAGTGATAATTCTTGTTCCTATATGTAGTATATTACTTCTTCTAACACTTATAGTAAGAATCCACATGTTGTAGGTTCTTGATACCGATAATTGGTTTACAAAACCTCTTGTCTGTCCATGATCAATGCTAGGGGCTAAACCACTGGCTAAACCATGCAATGGGGCTAAGCACCAACCATATTCACCAAAATTGATATTTCCCAATCAATTTGACTGATGAAGTGGCCCCTTGATTTTGAAAGTGATGTTTTAATTTTGGGGGTTACTTTCTGTGAAGCCTCAAGTACGTTTTCAAATTTTTCTCAAAAATTGCTCAAAATGTTTTTATTAAATTTTGTCACGTCAAAAAGTACGCCACTGTTTCATTGAAACGTCTAAAGTTTCAAAAATTGTAAAAGGTCATTTTTGCCTCTCTACAACTTGAAGACAGAGATTGTTCCTCTGAATAAAATCTGTTCTTCAAAATTACAGTGAAACTCCGATTATATGTTTTTCACATTCAAACATTGTTTTTTTCCAAGTCCCAGAAAAATTACTTCAGATATGGTTTTTATGTTTGTGTTTTTCACACTTATATGTTCATATTGAAAGTCCCTTAAAGACTGTGAAACTACCAAGTGAAAATGACCTAGGTGACCAATAAGCGAGAATGTTATCCTAGATAAGCCCACGAAATTTTGGTGTTGAATTCGGTATTCAGGTTGTTTAATTTCATCCCTACACAGAGCTTTTGACTAGTTTCAACTGGAGGTGAAAAAATTAAGGTGCCAGTGTCTTCCAATGTGGCTTTGCATAATTTTCACCAACACTGCACAATAAAAATTTGGCATGTTTAAAAGAAATATTGAAACTTGAGGGAACAAAGATTTCTAATTTAAGCATATGACACTTGACACGTGTCACGTAACACTGGTTTCATCAGCTGCATTGATGCATGTTGACATAGGAATCACCGTGATTGCAAAATTACACTTGCAAAACTGCACACAAGTTTTCTTGACAAGATGCATTGTTTGCCAATGTGCATTGAGCATTGAAAGCTAGAAAACGCACATTATCTTGACTTACGTAGTAGCTTCAGCATCTTGTTTCAACAGTGGGAACAACAGATGTCACCAAGCCCACTTGTTGTCATTTCACATAAGATACACTGTTAATTTACGATGTACATTGAGCGACTTGCTCTTTGATCAGCAACATTTTGATCCTTGAGATGGGATACTGTTCAAGGAAAGTTTTATAGTTTCTGCCAATAACCTAAACCATTTGTTCCGTTACGGGTAATACAAAGATAAATTCTGACAATTGTTTCATTCATATCAGTTGTCCATTGTAATCTCCTTTGTAGCAGGTCTACTTCAGTGATCTTGAGTAATGTCTGAGAAACATGGTCAGGAATTTAATTTAGGTTTTGATTGCTTGCACATTGGCTGTGGTGGCTTTGGGTATTCCAATATGTGCCGGCCTATTCAGCAATATACCACAGTGGCTTTAAAGCTATCACAGCCAGTATTGGGTCCAACCACTCCCTGGCGATCCTCAGGTGGTGGCTCCTTTTCCAACACTATTAGATACCCTCCATATTGATATGAGTTTAGTTGGTCATGGGGCTGCCATATCTGAGCCTTCAGCCTTGCTTTCCTAAGAATCAACCCCTTAGGAAGGGTTGTCCTACATAATGGTTGAGCTTGAGGTATTCACCTTGTTACCCTGGGCAAGGGCCTTTTCTTCCCTGATCTGAGTGAAAGGAGTTAGAATATGTAGGAAAAGTGCATAAAAGAAATACACTTTGATAGTTATCACGAAATCCTAAGTTATTATGGATTGTTTTTATTGTTAGGGATTTAAATGCCTCTAATGACATGGAGAGGGGAGGGGGAGTTTGTAGTGCTATTCTATTAAAATCCCCAGACACCATTCAGGTTTTAGTGTTCTTGATTGTTATTATCGTGATCATTAGTATTTATTTTTGTAACTTCAGGTAAAAGTTTTAAGTAACAATCTTAATTTTGGATTACAGTTTAAAGTACAAACCTCAAGCTGAATTGTTTTCAATGATGCATGTCATGTTCATGTATTGGTTTATAGTTGCTTATCATAACTGAAAACTTCAAATTATTTGTATTCAACTTTTAATCTTAATGTTGTTCATCACATGAATTATAGATGTAAATGCAAATATAATTTTTTTATATATAAAATCATAATTCTCTAAGAAGTGAATGAACAAAATGTAATTATTAGAATAAAAATAAAACAGAATATTCTGAATAAGGATATTAAATAAAAATATTTAAAGTATTATTATAAAATCTGGATCTTTTAACAGAGATTGGATTGCTTTTAATATTAACTTTTTTAAATTATATTATACTGTTAACTAATATCAACATTTCAGGAATTACACGTGAATTAAGGCTTAGTGAAATACTCACTGTGCATGTATGTTCTATAAATTCTCAGTATGTTTTTATTGCTTATTCAAAAATGATTTTTCCTGGATAATTGTTTTCAAAACTCAAGCATGCTATTTTAGGTGCATCTCTTTTGTAGGTAATGTTGCAAAAATATGCTGAGAATCCATCTCAGAATTGGACAAGTAAAGATGCAGCTGTGTATCTTGTAACGTCGTTAGCAGCAAAAGGGCAAACTCAGAGGCATGGCATTACTCAGTCAAGCGAGTTGGTAAATCTTCACGAGTTCGCTTCTCAACACATTTTGCCTGAACTCCAGAAGGGTGATGGTATGAAATTTAAGAAATTATCAGATAACTTAATAGCTAAACGCACTCTACTCTGAGCATTTGTTAATATCGTTATTATATCATTTCTATTTTTTCAGTTAACACCCTGCCAGTGTTGAAGGCCGATGCGATCAAGTACGTTATGATTTTCCGAACACTTCTGCCAAGGGAAATGGTTGTTGGAGCACTTCCTCACTTAGTCAGTCATCTTAAAGCAAGTAATCAAGTGGTTCATACATACGCAGCATGTGCCATAGAGAAAATTTTGGCAAAACGAGAAACTGATGGAAATCTAATGTAAGAAATTTGTAACAGGATAAATTTATTAATAGAAGCTGCCAATTTGCTACTACATTCATATTCATATGTATTCTATTCATTTTAGGATTAAAGGAGAAGAGCTGGCACCACTTGCTTCAGAATTGTTAAATAATTTGTTTGCAGCACTGGATTTCCCAGGATCTAATGAAAATGAGTATGTGATGAAAGGTGAGCAAATAAATTAAATTACAATTTTTGAAAATTGTAAAGTAGTAGAACGTGAGAAATCTTCAGTTTATTTGCTAGAAATAATGAATTTCCAGTTACCAATTCCAGTCAAGGTGGGTTGGTGGGCTTGAGAAACACTCTTGTACCTCTTACAGCTGCTGCAATGTACTGAAACACGTGGTAAATCATCACACTTACTTAGACAATCTTTACCTAAACCTCCTGGTATCCGCTTTCACGCTTTGTTGCAGGAGCTTAACCTGAAACTTCCTGCCCCTTTGAAACCTCCCAAGAATCTCGTCCCTCCTTGGAAACTTCTCCATCCTCTTCTACACTTCAGTTTGACGAACCTCCCCAAAACATCAACTACGTCCATAACGTACCTGAAACGCTTCAGTGGCTTAAGAGCAACTTATCCTGACCATACTTTCTTGTACACTGACTACTCTGCCACAAGTGACTGTGGCATGTACGTTCTATTGTAGAGTGGCCACTCGCTCATTCAAAATTCACCTGTACTGTTGCGTTTCACTGCCAAGAAGTTCGCTATTCTGCATGCCCTGAAATATATAGAATGAGATGCGCCACAGCAAGTAGTGCATTCCAGTCACTTTTGACTCTTTCTCCTTTGAATCGCTTGCCTACAATTATACATGTTTCTCCATCTAATATCTCACCATTATGACTATGTTGGGTATCGGGTCATAGGAATTGCAAGCAACGAGGTAACCAACCAAACCATGAAAACAGCGAGTCGGAAGTCATATGTTGACATTTATTATGTCCTCTCAGCAGACTCTAAAGTGTATCCGAAACGCTCTATATTCCATGCATGGCAGACAGAGTGGCAGAGTTCAGATTTCAAGCTCACAAGAATGAAGGATTCCATAAACCTTAGTCTTCCTCATCTTGTGGCTCAGGGCGCAAGGAGATTATTCTGCCACCCCCCTTGAGATTGGTCCCTGTCATTTCTCCCAAGGATATCTTCTCCACGGTGACCCACCCCATCCCTGCGATAATTGTGAGATGGATGTTCCTGTTCTGCTCTCCTGCTCCTTTTCTATGGTGAGAGACAGCTGTCGAAGACATCACCTTGCTGTCTCTCTGGCAGAGTCTAGGTAGTGCTAGGTAATGATGAATTCTTTCTCAGCAGGCTCTTCACCTTTTTATGAATGGAATGGAATATACAACCGTATTTGAGAGCGGAGGATAATGCCAATTAATATGGCTTTTGAGGGATTGGAAGATTTTAAAGTGTTTACGTGGCTCCTTTTATGCCAAATCTTTTGAACATTAAAGAGAAAACAAAAAAAACTTTGTCTTATTAATAGTACCAAATTAAAATTAGGTATATTCATTTGGTACTGTCATATAAAAACATGGTAAATCAGTGTTTGGTCACAGAAATTTGCTCATTCTAATCCATAGTGGGTTCAGGGGGTTCAGTTTGCACTGTTAGGGATCAAAGGGAAAGACCCCAATATTCCTCCAAAACTTTATATCAAATAGATCTTTCCATGTTTGTGTTGGTGATATGCTGTCTTGCAGTCACCCTCTTGAAAACATCTGCAAGGATCAGTGCTTGTCACTATGCCACTCACATAACAGTAAAGGGTTAACCGTACCTGGACAAGGTATTGCTTTTGTGTATGATTTTGCCATCTTTTGTTCTTCCAGCAGCATCAGTGTTATTCAAAAGCAATTCCAACTGGTCTTTAATAATCAACATAACCATTTCCACTGGCATATGAATGTGCATGTGAGAAATATTTCCTGGCTAATATGTATAAATGGTTTCGTAAGCGCGTCAGTTATGTCTTTTTTTTTTTATTTTTGCTATATTAGAGTTTCAAAAAAATAGAAACATTTACCTACCCGTTGGCTTCTAAATGACACTATTTTTGTTAATCTATATGAAGTTCTTCATTCTTCAAGATTGTATTTTAGGGTTTATTTTATGGGGACATCTTTTTAAAACTAATCAGGTAATAATGTCATCAAGCCTTTGGTACAAAACTGGTATTCATTGCCCATGAAGTTGAAGTTGCAGATGTATGTTTAAATATCTTTTTATTTAAAACTTGTGCAGATACATTTTTAACACATGACAATATTTTTAAAGTAGTTTAAACCGTCAGTGATGCCACATTCAAGTAGTTGCAGTGTACCCCATTCACACTGCACCACACTTCAAACAGCACACAAGACATTGCACACTCGTACCAGTCGTAGATGAATGAATAAATCTATCACTTAAATATAGTGTACTTAAGTGGATATATGTTCACAGCTGTTATGCGGAGCTTCTCCACCCTTCAACAGCAGGTAGTGCCTTTCCTTGGAGATCTCCTGCCAAAATTGACAACAAAATTGGCTTTGGTGGCACGTAATCCTAGCAAACCTCATTTCAACCACTATCTTTTTGAGACATTAAGTCTCTCCATTAGGTGAGTTTTTATGATTTATACTTTGTATGACCTTAGTATAATCACTGGAATAGCATTTTTAGAGAAACTTTCATTGAAGAGTAAAGGTACTTTGATCTAATTAAAGCCTGAAACATCCATGGTCAGAATAGTAAGTATTCAATAAAATATTGTTACACTTATTGGGCTTGATCCCTGAAGTGCAAAAGAAAATGTATACTAGATTCCCTTTTCTCTAGATGGAGTCAAGTTGTGTAAATGTGGGACCAAATCACATAATTATGTTGTTCAATATAAATTTAGAACTAAACAAGTCTCTTGAGTATGAATAAACAGTAGCCACTTCCTGGAAAATTTGGAAAGCCGGGAAAAATCTGGAAATTTCATTGCAGTGATAAAGTCTAGCTTTAATGTTTTCTTTAAAGACAGTAAAATTATAAGTGTCAGGAAAATAATAAAGAGCACTGGGAAACGGGGAATAGGAAAGTTTGTCCCAGGAAGTGAGTGGCCAACTAATTATAACTTTTTGTAGTTTTGTATTGCACTCACGCCCACTCGCGCGCTCTCGTGCACTCAAACACTCGCTCGCTCACTCACGCACTTAAATGCACCACACTACCACACATGCCAGTTGAGTTAGAGCTCATCCCAACTGGGGCAGTGCCTCGCTGGTGGGAGATACCTGGTTAGGGAAAACTTTACTAGTCGATGGTTGGTCAGCGCGGGATCTCTCCAGTCAGCTGAGGAAGGTCATCGCCACTTCCCAATGAAAAAATATGCACTAGACGTATGTGGCTAATGACCATAGACGTTGATGCGCCTGGAATCACTAAATCAATCAATTAGTTATGAATGGTACCAAAAAATTTCCCAAACAATTTATTGAAGAAACTCTATGGGAGAGAAGAGCTATTATCTTTAAAAATAACAAATCCTCAAAAATGGAGGGAATAAGGCTTTACTTTGGAAATGTGGTAATCAATGGATAGTCGCCAGGACTGAAACAAATGTTTCAGACTCTTATTAATGCCATACTAAGCAATAGCATAAAAATAAATGCATATATGTTAACATAGGTTTGTACCTGGTAGGGTCTGGTTTTTGAGATCATTATGAGTTTACTACATAGCAAAGAGCTAGGTTCATAAGCAGATTTGATCATTTTTTCACTCTCTTTTCACAAGCAATTTTCACCAGTAAAACCAGAATGAACAAAACATTTATTTCAACTTGGTGGATGATGTGACAAATAAACTCTAAAACCTCGAAATGCGACTGTGATGACATTTATTTCTGAGAGTCAAAGTAATTTATTCACAAGAAACTTATTTCATGAAGGTGTTCTTGCTTATTGGACTTGGATTGAACTGGCATAATGAGACCATGTTCACGTAGACAGATGTATTCTTAATGATGGATATCAAAGCATTGTCATGAAGAGTGCTGCTGTCTTTGCATGTTGTTGCATGTAGTATTGGGACCTGTGTTCTTTGTGCGCCTCAAAACTGTTGGTGGTTTTATCCATCAAACTTATCATACTTAGTTCTTGGTTATTTGGTGAATAACAATAAACAGCTTGAAATATTTACAGAAGGCGATGTGTGATGCAATATATAAGAGAGCTTTTGGATGTCATGTTGGGTTTTCTCGGATGTTTCAAATCCATTGAAATTTTGGGAAATATTGTGTAAATTTGAGTTGTTGATGCCTCACGCAAGTCCGATTTGAATAGATAATTATATACATTTATAAATGTGACATTTGCCATGGATTTTCGGCAATTCCTTTTGCAAAGAGGAATGGCATGTCTTGTTCTGATGCTGTAAAAGAGATTTAACGTTTCTGCTGAACATTGTGGATATGGTTTGTCTTAAAATCAGGCAAATATCACAATTAATTAATATAATTCTATATAATATATGATATAATTCTATTATAAGCAGTTTCCCACTATATGTTCAATGGCAAAAAGTGGTAATTTTTTACCACTCTACAAGCCCCAAAAGGCTTTTATTCCAAGACAGCACGTATGTTCATGCATGTGTGTAGTGAAGATGTAGTAAATTAAATTAGTATGTTGATATAAGTGTCCTGAAATTTTTAATTTTCAGAATTGTTTGCACATCAAACCATAGTGCTGTATCTTCATTTGAAGAAGCTCTTTTTCCCATTTTTCAAGGAATTCTGCAACAAGATGTGCAAGGTATCAAATTGAATATTTAAAACATTGAGTTTAATTAAGATTTTGATGTTTCATCAATTATCTCCCTCTTTTGGATGTGTTACAGAATTCATCCCATATGTTTTCCAGTTGTTGGCTGTGTTATTGGAATTACATGATTCTGGAAATGTACCTGAACCATACATGATGCTCTTTCCATGTCTTTTAGCCCCAGTTCTTTGGGAGCGTCCCGGCAATATCCATCCTTTAGTCAGGTTGTTGCAGACTTTTGTAAGGCAAGGAGCACAGCAAATTAGTGCTTCACAAAAAATTGTAAGTATTTGAACAGTAGTGAGAGGCATCAGTGTATTCAACAGATGTCCAAGTAGAGTGTGTGTGTGGTTCAGCATCTTCCTTTATCAAAAATTGTTTTTTAAGGGCATAGGGCACACTTGTTTTTTAATTATTCTTGATCGATGTATCAACAGGAAACAAAGTAATTCTTGCTGAATTTTGTAACAAAAATTTCTATTAAGTTTTACATTTTTCATTTTCTATACATTCTACATCTATTCAATACAAATACTGGAGAGTAATTCCCTATCCAGCAAAGTCAATAACTTGTTGTTGTTGTTTTTTTTTGTTTTTTTTTAATGCATATTTTTATTATTTTCCACAATACATTGCTCAAAATATGAATTGTTCCCAATGGTGTCTTAAACTTCCTAGTCTTTTGAAAGATGTTGAAATTTGGACAAGTTCTTATATATATTATGTGGCCAGAACTCATAACTGTAGGATTGAACGGTTTTTATGTTTCACATTCAGTTGATATCAGTTTCCAGTTCTTATATTTAAAACATTCTTCTGCCTCCTTACTTACGAAGTTCCGATTGCACAATACCATCAAGTAGGTAAGATATTTCTTCAAATTTTGAATAACAATATTTGGGTTGTTTGCTTGCTTCTATTGTTCTATTGAGAGGCTTGGGTTTATTGGTGGCATAATAGTATACACAGTCTATCAAGTCAAAGTTTTTGATGAGTGTTCTATCACATGCACCATGTATTTGTAACTTTGAGAGCATTACAGATCTGCCAATGGAGATAACTACAGACCCTGTCATGCCTCTTCAGGTTTTTGGACTTTGTTATGGGTAGGCCCTATCCCTTAAGGAATTGTAACCGACTCATAATAAAAAATACAAACTCAGACGATGAGATTTGTGATATCTCTGTGCTCCTGACAAATTCATCATTTATCATCCTAGGGAATTTTGAGAACTGCTTTATCACAGAGTGGTGTTCTCCGTGCTGGAATGTGATCAGCTATTACAATTGCATTTATAGCCTTGTTCTTTCCTTTATAAGCCTCATAAATTATTATTCTCCATGATCCATCAATTCCTTTTAGAAATTGTCCATTAGGTGGGGTGTCTCTCCATTATTTCTTTAACATTTTTATGACTATCATTTCATTTCAAGTAGCATCAACAATTCATTGTTTGTGATATTCTGTTTCTTTAATAGATTTTTTCCATGCTTATACTCCCATTCCTTCAGGCACCTGAGAAGTGTGTCATCTTCAGCTCTAGGGTGGGTGCCATGATGCATTGTAAGCAGTTTTCTGATTTTTCAATTCATGATTCAAATTTCTTGCTCAGTAAAGTCCACTAGTCTAAAATTGTACTGGGCTATAAGAATCACCACACTACCATTTGCAGATATTTTATTCCTAGAGTGCTAACTGCAGAACAAAATTCACTCATTTGTAATACTCCCTGTGAATTCTCTTTCATTGTGTCATTCGAGATGTTTTCACATTCTTCAGTACCCAGATATTTGTAAATTTTACACGACTCAAGTTCTTAATCACAGTATGCATATCAGCATCAATGCTCTCTGACATCACTTTCTCTCTTTAAATTGATGTAATGCTTTTAATTTCTTAATTAAATAATTTTGGATCTTATCAATCCTGGGGGGATTTTCAGTTTCCCATGTTCATTGGCAGCATCAACTTGGGATTGGAGTCACGATGTGTCTTTGTTGTAGGATATGCTTTCTTTCCAGATTCCTACCCAAAATGTTTCGATGGCATCTTTTGCAGGTGGGACAGAATTGCCTTCAATTACGATAGAATATCTTCACATTGGTTTCAAAAAGCTGATTATGTATGTAAAATTCTATTCTACATTTGTAACATCTAAAGCATTGAGCCCAAGCTTGGATTTTCTCTTTTAGCTTCTCAACTACCAAGAACCTTGATTTTGATTTTGCTATTTTTGTTCAACATGGTGTATTTTATGTTATACTTAGAGGTGTGGTTTGTTTAGAAGATGCCTTGGTGAACAGTTATATTTCATGCCGAGTGTTTGCTATCAGCTTCATAATTCTTTTTGTCCATGGGAATACCAAGTTGTTGACTCTGGCTGTCAGCTGACGTGTTGTCAGTGGCCCCAAAATTATCTGGGATTCCAGAGATCCTGTTGCATACATGATGTGATTGATTTCAGTAATATCTAGATCTCCCCTGGGATCTGTACCTGCTCGTTTAAGACAGAATTTGCTGTCTGTATCACTCTCTTAGCTTTTGCATTTTGATATATTCTTCTCAACGGTGTATGAGATTCAAATGGAAGGAGATGAACTTGTCCTATCTCACATTAAAGGAGATTTCGCCCCATGTCTATCTCATGAGATTTATAACCAGATGAATTTTCACCACTGATGGAACTTACATGGTAGAGATGAACCTACGATGGACCATCGTTTTCTGAGATATTACATGGTTCTAAATGTTTATCATGGGGATGGTTCCATTGAAGAACATACTTGGATTTCCCTGAATGTCAGCAAGTTGTTCTGCTGTGAATTTTCTACTATGGAGAACGTATTGACGCTGACTGGCAAGCTTCTTTGAATCTAGAGTAGGTGTCATATCAGGGTTCTGCTCTCACTAAATCTTGCAAACTTCTATTTCTAAGCCCCCATTTTTCGCTTTAGTGCAGTTAAAGGACCTCATCACACTTTCAATTCATCCGGAGTCCATATCTGACAATGGGTTCGAGCGACTCCCGGCTCTGGATCCCAGGGACTAACATCCATAGGATGAATCCAGTCTTTTTTTATTTCCTTTTGCATTATAAATTTGGAGCCGAGTTGTGGAAGTTGCTTCTTTGCTGATACCATGTGTGATTGACAGGCAACTCTTGTTATTCAATCCTGTTTGACTGTCTCATTATATTTTGGGTACCAACCAAATTCTTTGCAATATCAACAATAAATAATTGTAGGATCTCATTTTTTCTAACATCCAGTCAGGATCAGCAACATACTACCTGTCAGTGTTCAGTTCTCCAGCAAAACCTGAACTGCACATGACTTCAGAGACTCCCTTTATACGTAGCCCTAAGTACCCAAAGCAACACTGTCTACAATGGCGTTATTCTTAGAATTGCTCACTCGTAGTAACAAATAACAACCTGATGAAAAGTTATTGCGCAACCTGACATCCTTGTCCCTTAAACAGGAAATATTTGTCAAATAATCAACCAAACTAACTAGAAAATGCAATATTAAACTTATATTAAGAGACCTGGGTTCAATAGACTGCTTGCCCTGTTGCAGCTGAAAAAATATTATTCAGTAACGTCTTTGACAAATGGTTGCATACATATACAAACACTGTTGCAAACAGTCACAAAAAACTGTCCTATCACCATTGATAGTTACCACGTCAAATATTGAGAATTTTTGTTCTGGGTTCAGTGGAAGTAGTGTTGCTCTTAGGTGTTGTGGGTGATATGATGACTGGTAGAATACAGGGTTGTTGTTGTTGTTGTTGTTTTTTTTTTTTTTTTTTTTTTTTTTTTTTTTTTTTTTTTTTTTTTTTTTTTTTTTTTTCAGACAAATTTCTCTTCTAAAGCTGTGTCGTTGTATTTTGACATTTTTTCCTCAATTTTGTTTGGAGATGATGTGAGTTAAGGATTTAAACATCAATGAGAAAGGTTCTCTTTTCTGTTGTCTGGTCTGTTGGATGGTAGGATTTTATGTGTGATTGCAGGGGTAGTGCAAAGAATCTTGATTTCTTTGTTCTTTGTGGCATGATTGTTTTAATTTGTAATACCATACCATAATATGTCTTTTGTAAGACCTTGATGGTGACTGAACATAAAGGTGCATATGATAGTGGCAACGTAGTCATGCCTTTGAAGATACTCCTCTGAGTGGGGATATAGATAAGTAGTGATTTTGTTTTCTGCGTGGAGATTGCATTTTCTATAGTGTCTGCTGGCTAACAATTCATTTTGTGTCCTGGATGTATTTGAGTATAAATTTAGGGTTTGTTATTGTTTCTCATCAGTTTAATTTTTCAGTTAAAAATTGCCTGAATGTATAACATGGGTCTCATATTTGACTCTGTTTCCAGAATGGTTTACTTGGAGTGTTCCAAAAACTGATAGCTTCAAAAGTAAATGACCATGAAGGTTTCTACTTGATACAGTGTCTTATTGAATACTTCCCTGTGTAAGTTTTTGTTGATTTTTTTTTTAGTACCTATAACATACTTATAAATAATTCAGTGTGAACTTAAAAAAATGTCCTTTTTCAGTGAAGCACTGTCACCGTATATGAAGCAAGTGTTTTTGTTATTGTTTCAAAGACTTTCTTCCTCTAAAACTACAAAATTTGTTAAAGGACTTTTGGTTTTCTTCTGTCTGTATGCTGTTAAAAATGGAGCATCCAATTTGATAGCAATAGTTGATAGTATTCAACCAGAGTAAGTATTGGTTTTATTGGTAGTGATTTACCATTAAGTTCCCACCATTTTTATTTCTTCTTTGGTTCTTTTAGAATGTTTGGTATGGTACTGGAACGACTTTTTGTACCAGATGTACAGAAGGTATCGGGTAATGTTGAGAGGAAAATAGTTGCTGTTGGCATCACTAAGCTGCTTTGTGAATGCCCTGAATTGATGGATGGACCCTATTCTCAATTTTGGTATGTTCAGGTGCAAATTAGAGTATTTGATATTAATTCTTTTATTAATTATGAATGATTTATTAATTACTAATTTTGAATCAGTATTAATTATTTATTTAGACATATAATTTATAAATCAATAAATTTAGGAACAGTTTGTTTCCATTTATATAATTATTGATTAATAACTTATATAAAAGTAACAAAAAGTTCAAAAGTCATACTTGTATTACTTATATTACTTACTAAATATATGTGTATGCTTCTCTATTATAAATATGTGTATAGGTCTCCTCTCCTTCAAGCTCTTATTGGTGTTTTTGAATTACCAGAAGATGATTCATCATTTCCTGATGATCACTTTGTTGAAGTGGATGATACCCCTGGCTATCAAGCAGCTTATTCTCAACTTGCCTTTGCGCATAAAAAGGATCATGATCCTCTGCAAGGTAAAAATTAGTGTAGAAATGGACAAATATAAAGCATTTGCCTAATTAAGTTTGTCAAAAGTTGGAAGTGAATATTTTTTCTTTGTCAAGTCAACAGCCTGTGAATATAATTTGTTTTATACGAGACTGTCTAGAAAGTAACGCATACTTCCACCGTAATTACACATAAAAAGTTCAACTTTTTTTGACACCAGTCTAGAAATATACCGAATGTCTTCACCATACTCTTGCCAACAGCAATGCACCTAAAAATACTATTCACAACACTACATTGTGTTTGATCCATGGAAAACGCCTGATTTTAAATTTGTGCATCATGCAGACAAATTGTCATAAAATTGTGGTTTCATGACAAAAGTGACTTTCCATGTCACAACAGAATTTTTAGGCTCTGCCGAATGGCCTTATCTGGAAACTGTCCCAACTGTCCCATCATGGAAACCTCCACTTTCTTGCCTCGTAATGTAAACCACACAAAATGATTTTTCCATGTCCTGAGGTAGGTATGCAGGCAGGGCTCTCAAGTATTCCATTCTTTCATCTGTAATCTTTCTTCTCTCCATGGTTATTTCTCCTTCTTTAATAACATGCTATCTCTTTTCTTCTTTCCCTTCTTTATCACTGGCTCCCGGTATGCTGAACACAAGGGTATGTGTGTGCCATGCATGGTGATCTGTGACTGAGGAAATGTGTGTCCTGGCCTGACCAGTTTGTTTCCCCAACTGCTCCCCGTGTGCTACTTTCTTCTTTGCATCTAGGGATACGTTATTTACATATTTTAGGGAACATTACTTGTAGATTTCAATACACCTGCTTTGGCTACACTCTTCTAGACCAGCGTTCAGGAACTAACCCACGCCCGATCTATTGGCTTGAAAGTCTTTAAAGTGAACTCCAGTGAGTGGGGAAATTCATGGCAGGGCTCCCTCACTATATCCCTATGGCAACCCTGGCACTCAGATGGAATGTTCCCTTGTTGGGCTCCGTGGTGGGGGGAATGAATGGGAATGAATCTGATATCCTCTCAATGGATACAAAACCTTCTTCCCTCCCCTCCTCCTTGCCACATTGGCAAGAAGATCCAGAAAATCTTGGATCTAAAAGAAATAGCCAGCCTCCAGGAGCATGTGTTCACCCTCCCAACCTTAAACCTCTGCAAGAGTTGGGTGAATCATGAAGATTTCTCATCAGAAGCAGAAGAAGAACTGAATGCCTTCTTTCAACCTGAAGATATGATTGATATTTACAGGATCTAGCTTAGAGTGAATGGAGTACTTCAATGCTGATACTGACCTTCTATCATCCATCTGCCAGAGAGAAGGCTACTTCAATCTCTGTGTTAAGTGGTGTGTACCAAATCCTCTCCGCTGCTTTAAATGCTAGAGATTAGGCCATACATGGCCTCATTGCATGAGTGCCACAGATTGCATACACTGTGGAAAAGAATCGTTTAACGATTCAAATTGCTCTGCAGGTCCAAGGCGCATAAACTGTTCTGGGAATCGCCTATCGAACTCGAAACATCTTAAAAGAAAGGGAGATCCAGAAGATCCAAGTCTCAGAGAAACTTTTCTTTAATGAGGCACAATATCAATACCAGTCGTATAACCCTGTAAATATGAGATAAAGTTACGCTGGCACCATGGGTCAACAACATAAGACATAAATTGCAAAACCCAGACACCAAAAGTTACCTCTGTGCGCAATGCTGCCTGTCAAGTGTCCTTTGAAGACTTCAGCAGAGATGCAGATACCAATTACCTTTTACCATCTAAAACAATGAAGGAAACGAAAACTGTAAGTGTTTCAACAAACACACACAAAGGCATCAAGCTGAGAAACTGAGGCTGAGAGGCCCTATTTCTAGATCCAGATTAACTGTGTCAAGACAGAAGTCTCCTTACTTATTGACTCTCTCTGGCAGTAGTCAAAATGACTGCAGGGAACTAGGAGCCCGACATAAACTCATGCATCACTCTAAAACAAAGATGGAAAAAGGAGAAAAAGAAACCTGACATAAACCACCTAGAAGCAAAGAAACTTAACACCTAGAAATTATGACTAGGTTCTCATGGAACCTCAATGGCTTTCACACTTGTCTAGATGAATTAAAACTGATAATTTCTCTGAATAGACCCATTGTTATCTGCCTGCAGGAAACATTTCTTCCCCTCTCCATGGCTTTTGTTGCTTCAGGCAAGACATTGATGATGGCCTCTGGGCCCATGGCAGAGTCACCGGAGTCACTACATTTGTCACAGACTCCCTGGTAACCACAGAAACAGACATTATCTTGCATTCATGTGAACTTCCTTTCTACATTGATAACTATTTGCGATGTCTATGTCCTGCCTGGACAAGTCATGTCATGAGGAAATTGAATATGTTTTCTTAGTTGTTCGCCCATTTTTTTTTGCGGTGGGACTTTAATGTCCACAATCACACCTGGGGTGGCACAAGGACCTGCCTGAGAGGCAATATGCTTGAAAACATTGATAACCAGAACATAATTCTTCTGAATATTATCGAAAGCGCACATTTTTCTGTGGCTTCAAAACACTTTCTCGTCTGTTGATCTGGTTCTGTACAGTCAATTTTTCTCTACCATCTTTGAGTGGACTATCCTTGGCTACCTGCATGACGATGACCACTTCCCAATTCGGGTCAATTTGGATGTTCCCAACCTAAACGTTGCACATCCTCCTCGTTGGCTAACTCACTGAGCCGAGTTGGAAAGCATTAGAAAAACATGTATGTTTATCTGAAAACTGCCTGAATGATATCGATGCTTTGGTTACCCATTTTACTGTTGCTGTTCTTCATGAGGCGTAAATTATCATCCCGAAGTCAGCAGGTCACCCACAGCATCCTCCTGTGCCATGGTGGAATGCGCAGTGTGCCATCGCGATTGGAAGCAGACACTGGCAAAGCTCACTAAGTTCCCAACCATGGGTAATCTGGTAAATTATAAAACATTCTGAAAGAAAGCTAGATTGACTATATGGGAAAGTAAGATCACATCCTGGAGAGCTAATATTTCATCACACTCTTGCTGTACTCTCCCTAACATTCCCTAAAGTAGTGTGGCAAAAAGGTTCGACAGATCGATGGAAGACTTCCTTCGCAGTCTCAGAGCTTCTGGTAAATGGAATTGGCTTCTCACAATGCCTTCCTGAACACCAAAAAAAATGCAGATTAGATTTCTTTAGTCGCGAGGTGGAAGATTACAATGCCATGAAGTAAAGCCAAGTAAAGTAGACAGCCTCACAGACCCATCAAATGATACCAAGCTGTTTATCAAATGCTCTCTTCTCAGTGCATTTCAAACAGTGACAGAATTCAGATTTTAAGCTCACGAGAATCAAGGATTCCATAAAGTCTTGGTCTTCCTCATCTCATGGCTCTAGACACGCCTTTGGATCAGTCACTGCCATTTCTCTCATGGACATCTTCTCTGCTGAGACCCACCCCCTACTTGCAATAGTTGCAAGACTGTTATTATCATGGAGCATGTTCTCCTTCACTGTTCTAAGGTAAGAGGTAGCCGCCTAAGGCATCACCGTGCTAGTTCTCTAGCAGAGGCTCTTGGAAATGACGAATCTTCTCTCTTGTAGGTTTTTTTGGGTCTTATGAGACTGACATTTAATGCATTATCTGAGAGAAGAGAATTAAGTCAATTATGTGGCTTTTAGTTGGAGATTTTAAAGTGTTTATCTGGCTCTTTCCTGCCAACCCCTTTTTATTAATGAACCATTTTTATTTTCAGCTTTACTCACATATTACTTCGCATTAAAAAAAGTTGAAGTATGGCACTGCTGCTACAGTGCATACTACTCTTAAAATTGTAATGGGTGCCAATGTCTTAAGCTGAGCTGTGCCCCTAACTTAATGATCATTATTATCAATCAAAAATCAAAACAGTTTCATTGATTCTAAATTTTTTGATGTCCGTAAGTTTTGTGTACGTAAGCTTCCGCGGCTCGAATCCATGAATTCTCGGCTGTCCGGGAGACGCCGCGTCGTTGGCTGGGGTGCCGTCCCTAAGTTTTTGAATGAAACCATAGAAGCCTCTCACCTGGCCAAAAGTATTGTAATAAATTTGAAGTAGAATTAATAATTTTTAGAGTACATTCCCTGTATGGTAATGTACAAATGGAGCTTTAAAATACACAATTGTCTGCAAAGTCATAAAATTTTGGTTCTCTTCACAGAAGCTTGATACAATTAATTGATGTCACTATTTAGTTCTTTCTTTACTTTGCAGGTGTTCCTGATGCAAGATTACATTTAGCTCATAGTTTATCAAAGTTATCTGTTGCTTATCCTGGAAGAATGGCACCATTACTTTGTAGCCTAGGTGAACCCCATCAATCTCATTTGAAGAACTATCTGGCTGGTGCTAGTGTCCAGCTTGCATAAAACTGTGTATTTACAATTTATACAAATCAAATTGGTTGTAAAATTCTGTATACATTATACAAGCACTGCATTACAATCGCTTTCTTAATGATTTTTTCACGGAAAGAAGCGACACAATATGGAGCAAGGAAAATCAGCAAATAAAGTTACAATGCATTCTTTCCTAGTTTCATATTTGTGTTTCTGGTATGAATGAATCGTTTTTATAGATGGTAAATGAGAATGTGAGAATAAAGTTGATTTTTAATTTTTATTGTTTTATTGAGGTAAAAGAACCACACTTCTGGCACTTGTAAGAAAAAGCATGGTTTTGAAATGGCCATGTTCATTTGGCAGTATTAATCATTTCATGTGGAATAGAATATACTGCGATTTTATTAACTCTGCTCCTCGTGGCAGACACCTTCACAATGGCATTGTGTCGCTGTATTTCGCTAGAAGTCGTCTTTTCCCGACCTTATCCAGCACTGCTATATACGGTCGCGATTATGCGACATCTAGCGGCGTAACTGAATAGGTATTAAATTTTTATGACTAAAATAGGTTCAAATGTACCATTAAATTGTTTTAGATTTAAGGAAATAACACCACTTTTAAGAGCTTAAATTTAAAACTATCATGTTTGCCTCAATGTCTACATTGCATTTGAGAATTTAAATTTGTTAGTACATTTTTCTCTTATGATTTATAGGTAGTACCTTCTAGGAAGGGTTTAGTGTTCACATGCTAAATTTGTGACAGCATAAATTAGAGCTTAGCTTTTGATTAAGTACAGTCGTCTCCGGTTATACTGACCTGGGGACTAACATTTTTGGTTCATTATAAATCCGACTCATGATGTCAAAATTAAATAGAATTTCTGCGCTGTGATTGGTTTTATTAATATAGAGGTTCAAGTTTTTCTTTTTTTCTGCAGGTGGGAATTCACTTCCAAGATTTTCTATTTCTTACGAAGCCGCGTATTAAAAAAATGAATTCACAAACATTTACTACTTCTGAACGTGAGGCTTAGACGATTGTGTGGGCAACAGAAATTAAAATTTACTCACAGAAGGACCGTTCACGCTGACAACTAATCACAAATGTTCCTTATCCGGAGCCAAATAAATAATGATCGACTTTTAAGATTTGATTGTTCTGGATTATTTACCAAGGTGTAGAATTTCGGAAGGAACACTTGGGAAAAGAATGATCTGAACGTCATACAACGAACAGAAATTCGACCGTACTAGATCATCACACATTTAGCTAGCATACAGAATGAGGGTCCCAAAGCGAGACAAATTAAAGAAATATTATTAGAGAAACGATTACGGATAATGATAATGGGGCAGGGGGCAAAGAACTGACGCTACTAGTAGAATGGAAGCTATACGAGGTGAAATTTATATAATCGAGCTGGAAAAGGGGGGATCGTATTATCGAAAGTGGATTCCTGGAAAACTCCGGATAACTTTTATTACAACCGTTCACTAACGTTTCGGACATTTTTGTTGTAGTAAAATAACTATATTTCAAGAGAAAGATGCTATTCGAAAATATGGGACGTCAAATCAGAAAACTAGTTAGTGAGTGTGATATGTCTAAGGACAAAACAGCCGAAACGGAAGGAATGATGGAAGCCATTACACTATGAGCATCCGGGCAACTTTATGCAGTTGATTTGTACGCACCATTGCCAACCTCAAAATCCAGGAATAAATATTTACTAGTTATCATGGATGTTTCTGTTTTTAAGGCCGTCCAAATTTATCCAATATACGCAAAGCAAACGCGAGGAGTTGTATCATACATTCTTTTTTTTCGGAAATTCGGTAAACCCCATCTTTAAACTTAAGGCCCATTCACAATGCAAACAAAAATAAGCATGGCGTTAGATAAAATTTTGGACTACGTCCACAAGCGGGCTCATTCACAATGCGTTCCCATAAGCACAACACGTAAGACGTTAGCTTAAAAGCTCGTAAGCTTCAAACGTCTGTGCTTATGCTTAAGTACGACATAAGAAATGAACTCAGTTCGGTGACTCAAAATCGAGAATCGAAATAGTGAAGTTGATAGACGAACTAACGCCATATGGGTCATGGACACAGTCGATACCTCGAAATTCATTCTCACATCCAACCAATAGTAAACTAGAATGCCTCACAGCCAATAGAAACGTATTTTTCTTAAGTTTGTGTTACACATTGTAAATATTTCGGTCATCACTTATGTTAATACCAGTTGAATACCAGTTAATACTTACGTCTATGTGTTATGCTATGTTCACGTTTGCATTGTGAAGGGGCCCTTAGGCACGCAATTTACCAGCGGTAAGTGGAAAGCAAATGAGAAACGAAAATGTACAACTTGTTTCACAACAATAAGTAATCCCCACGCTAATTCAAGCGAGAGAATAATGAAGGAAATGTTTTGAATATTCAGGATATATGTGCCGGATTCACACAATCAGTGATATGAGGTACTACTCATATTGAATTACGTGCTAAATAGCGTTTCTCAGAGTAATACAAAATGAACGCCTGCACAAACTCATTTTCAAGGGGAAGAGCCATTTAGAAAAATCAAGATATCATCGGAGGTTAGTGGCATAATGGAAATTAATAATAACCATCAAATTATGTATGACAATCTACAGGAAGCGACCAAAAAGAGAAAATGCGCAAATAAATAAATCAATAAAAATAGAGGGATTCGTTATTTCGTGATAGATAATTAGTAAGAAGAGTTTATCAAGATTTATTAGTTTATATATATATCAGAAAGGTTTGAGTATTTCACAGATAGATTGCCCAACATGGTGTAAATAAGTATCGCTATACGATATATACCTTATCGTATAGCTTAAGGAAATAAGCATTTTTTCTAGTCTTACTGCGTTCTGCCTATTCCAGGCAAGGTACGTAAGCTGCGGTCGGATGTCCTCACAGTCTCTCTCTGGTCCGGGGCACCTGCTTCAATTGTCTCAGTAGCGGGATGTTAAAATAATAATAATAATAATAATAATAATAATAATAATAATAATAATAATAATAATAATAATATTTATTGAGTCACATATATACAATTACAATCGTGTGTGACGAGTCAATAGGTTGCCTTGGGTGGAGAGAGCGAAGTTATATTACTGTTCAGGAGCAAACAAGGGGCCATCTCAGCATTTGCTCAAAGGATCAGGGAAACTGAACAAAACCTGATCAAGATGGCGCATCAGCGACTGAGGCCTTACTTCATCGATGCCGCTTAACACAGTAGAGAGAGACTTGTGTAATGCTGCCGAAGAAACGGCGAATTTTCGGCAGAAATTCTCTTAATATGGGGTCCTGGTAACAAAAAAGTGAATAAATCTATTTGCTAAACTGAAAAAATCTTCTATCTCGTGATGTAGCAAGAATCCATGTATTGAGTCTTTCATACCAAAAAATCGATTGACGGGCAAACAGTCTGTGAAGAACGCTTGTGGCTCAAACATTCAGCCGATTTTCTCCAAAGTTCATATTCCACAATCGTTCTGACTGATGTCAAGGCACCTTGAATTTAAAGCCAATATTTTAATTTTGGGGAGTTCTTAAGATGAAGCATCTGGGACATTTTCAAGATTTTCAAAAAAATGACTACAATTTTGTTTTATTTATCTTTGTTGTTGGATAGTGTGAAGGACGGTTAGATAATGGTACAGCTCTAATGTTCCTTAAAAACCCTGATTTTTCGAAAATTATAAAAGTGCAATTTTTTTTTCGGCAACAACTAAAATATTTAAGATGTAAATTTTTACTGTAATGAAATCTGTTCTTTAAAGTTAGATTTTGGAATAAGGTCATGCACATTTTTTTAATATTTAAGTTTTACAAAAAATGATGACAGATGTAATTCGGAAAGAAATTGTGTTATAAATAGTATTACGTAAGCATTTGTAAGGGTGAGAAAGTATGTGCTGTTGGAGCACCACTAGTGTACTTTCTCGCAACCCCTTACGCAGTAGGACAGTTATGTAATGGCGTGCGAAAATACGGCGAAGTTTTAACAGAAAAACACTTATTACAGTGCGAACTGGAACTTATTACCGGTTACCAAAAAGTGGATAAATCCAATTGCTAAATTAAAAAAAACAACTTCAAAACGCGGTTTAGCCTGAATACGGTTTGGGGGTCCTTGATATCGAAAAATCGAATAACGGCAAAACGTCTGTCCGTCCAACACCACCTAAGATATACACATAGTGGTTGGTCCGTCCGTCTGTGAACAACGCTAGTGGCTAAACCGTTCAGCTGATTTTCTCCAAAATTGATATTCCACAATCAATTTGGCTGATGTCGCAGCCCCTTGAATTTGAAGCCGATATTTTAATTTAGTATTTTTTTTATACATGTAATTTCGTATTATGTAAATGTGTCTTATAACTTGTGTATTACATAAGTAATATGTGTTTTTCATTACGTATTTATGTACATATTTCTCGGGTCTCTAATCATCATAGGAGAGCAGAATGACATCAATTTGGGTGGTCTTTTTATACTTCAGCAACAGCATGTTTAACTACAACGTGTCGCCCACAACACGAACATTAGTCTCAACTCTGCACGTCTAGTACAACAAACCAAAACTGTGCAAAGAAATTAGACCCGCAAACAACCAATAGAAACTATATCTGGGAGGCAGATATGTAAAATTATCTGCGCTTAACTTTTTTTCAGAAAAACACTTCACCCGCCATGGTCTTCTCCCGAACCTTGTTGGAAAACATACGTGGTAGCGAGCTTGTAAAACACATCCTTTCACAACTTCGGCAGTGTTCTCCAGCCACACTTAGTTCTCTTCCACCTCCAACCACACTGGTTCTTTTCTTTCATGACCCTTTTGGACCCAATTACCTTATCTCTTGAACCTAATCATTATACTACCTCTCCTCTCCCATTATCCATTCCTCTACATCTGTCACCTCTACCTTCCTCATCTCCTGTCACTTCTGGGACACGATACTTCCTTTGGCCACGCACTTGAAGTAAAAATGAGATAAATAAATATAGCACATAGATAAATAAAAATCGTATCATGAAGCGAGGGAATCAAAGGGTGCTGCGTACGTAAGTTCACGTATTTACCAACTCTTACAGGAGAATTGCACAAAAAACAACGATTTCAAAATATTCTCAAAACTAATCACGGAGAGACTTGTGAAAGAGAGCAACAATGCGGTTTCAGGAAACAGAAACACACTCCGAGTGATCGGTAATTTATTAGACGAAATAGAAGCCCTGAAACAGCCGAAAGGGCAATACTATACAGTCTTTACCGATTACACAAGGGAATTTTACCCTCCGAACAGAAAAAGGGCATTGGAAAAGTTTACACACATGACAGGAGAAACGCACAACATCGCAAGGATACTAAATATGTTCTGGCTTACAACAAAGTAAACATAAATGACGTGGCCTGTTTCTCTAAAGACATCTTTCAAACAAACGGAGTAATGCAGGGGGGCCCAACAAGCCCCATTCTGTTCAACATACTAACTGCAGACATAACAGGGATAACAGAACAATCAGAAAGCATCCCTACATGTGTATGCTCATGATATGGTGCTAAGTTCAATCGGCCTGACAAGTCTCCAACAAGCCATAGACAATTTAGAAACTTGGACGAAAGAAAACTTCCTTCACATCAATAAAAGCAAGATAATGAAGATAACCTTCCGAAAAGGGGGAAAAATAGAAGCTAGTGCGAAAAGAAAATTCAAGAACAAATATGTCGAAATAATTCAGTATTACAGATATTTAGGTATAATACTTCAGACAGGCAGCCATTCAAAATTCATATCTGAGAAAAAGCAGCAACGGCTATTAAGAGACATGTACTCAATAAAAAGTATCTACACACTGTCACTAAAATCATCAAACAAAATATTTTGCCTTCATTAGCCCAATCATAACATACACAATACAATTAATATGAGAAAACTATCAATAGCTGCTCTAAGGTCCATAAAGTGAACTGAGGCAAGATACGTGAAGAGTCCTTTGTCTTCCAAAGAACACAAAATCAAGATTAGTATATAAACTGACCAGATAACCATTCTACATTGAGGGCTTAAGATACCAATTATTACCACCCTCCACCAGGCAAAGTACACAAATAAAAAATGAAGGGAAGAGAAAGATGGCCAGAATTTTACTCAACAGACGCCATGATAGAAAAAAATGGACGGAAACAAACCAGAAATTAAGACCCATGATCACAAGACTGGCGACTCATGGGTATCACCATGAAATCTGCGCAACCTCATCACCATGAAGTGAAAGAAGACTGCGTGTGCTCCCTATGTGGTGAACATTGTGAAGGATATCACATCCAAAGATGCAAGAAATGAACTAAAACAGTGACAATATAGCAAAGAACTTAAGTTACATTTTTATGCTCTTTCGTGCGCACTCATACATATTGTTGTCTACTGAATAAAAGGCAATTATTTAATTGTAATGGTTTCCTGACCTTAATATTTTAGTGTCTGTTTTTATTAAAGTCAAGAAACCGAGGGTACAATGAAATAAATAAGATAAATGTAAATTTATTCCTTAAAATAGGTAAAAATGTTATGTTAGGCCTATGTGTTCATTCTGCGAAGGATGTTTGTTGGGCACTGATTATTTTGAAATGTTGGGCGGGAGCAAAGGAGCTTTTCGATGAGTCGATAGTTTTCAATGACGTTCAGAAGTTACGTAATAATATTGAATCTTTGGTATTGATTTAATAAAATAACGTTCAAATTTATACATTATTAGAAAGTAAATATTTTTTTGGAGAAAATACAGCATAACACGCGATCTTCTTTTCGCTTCTTTGCTTGATTGTAGATTGCTCTGAAATTTGTTCTGGGTTCGAGAGTGCAGTGATCAGTCCTCTGTTCACCATCTTGGATTGAGGGCTGGAAATGGTAAGTAGTGTAAGAATATTCTCATCGAATTTGTGAAATATATTTAGAAATGAATTTGGTAGGCATTGTGCTAGCGTGGTGACTGACTACACCCTTTTTCAAAACATATATATGTTAATATTGTTCATTGTCTTTATTGGATTGTATCAGTCTGGTTGGGACTTACCTTTACCTTCCTCTTATCGTGACTGCGTATTTCGTTTTGTCCCGGTACTTAATGTTAAATTTAGTCCAAAAGTACACATTTTCCTCGTAAGGCATTCGTTTTACTTCACAAGAATTATTGTTTGTAATGCTATCGTTTTATCGATATTGCCAATTCTGAATAAACGTAAATTTCACGTATAACCTTAAATATATTTCAGAAAGTAAGTGAAGGCTTTTGGCACGTGAAATATTAGTGAACGTGGCGGTGCCTTTTTTAAAATTGCAATACTATTGATAATTGACTCTTTAGTGATTGTGAAATTGTGAAGATAATTTATGTAAGAATACCAACATTTTTCAGGTGGTACCAAACATGGCTAGCAGACTACTCATGTCATCTCTGCGACATCTACAGAAAATACCAAAGGCTGGAATGAGTAGTGGCCATTCAAAGATTGGAGGCAGGGAAGTGGTTGGATATGGTTTCAATGGCCAGCCTAACTATGTTGATAGAATAGATTTTCCTCTTCCTGCCATTAGATTCAAAGAGAACACTCCTGATATTCAGGTTTGTGAATAATTATATTTTTCTTGACCATTAGTAATAATTTTAGAACTAGATGGTGCTTTCTGTTTATTCTCAAAATTCCTGAAGTAGATTGAAATTTAGCAAATAGGTTGGCATTTTCTGAATGTCTAAGCCTAAATTGAGCATTCTGTGCAAAAGGATTGTCTACAAAAAATAGTGTTGAAAGTACCATGCTTGTAGAATGTTGTGCTTTAATTCTGACAAGTTTACTGACTAAATATGCATTAGTTTGTCAGAGAGAGAGAGAGTAGGCAGACTCTATTCAGAGGCTGCAGACTGCAGCTTTACTCGTATTATTAGCAACTGTGTAGCAACTATATTCAAACAGTAGATTGCTACTGTAGCAGGCCAAAACTAATTGCAGTGAACTACCGAAGTATGGAATTTTTTTGTGGGTTTGTGTAGTGAAATTGCCCACATTGTCTTTTATTCAATGGCAGGCATTGCAGTGCCTCACTATTCTTCTTTTGAACTTGTACTAGTTATCTCATTAGTCTGGACTATCTTTCCAGTTTTGCCTCACTTTGGTGGTACTGGGCCATCTTCTCTTTCAGCTGCCATCCAGTGACACCTAAGACGTATTTTCATGTTTCCTCCATTTTTCGGATCCTTTATAATATAATTAAAAGAATATTATATTTAAGAATATTACAGGAAAGCGTGAAAACTAGGCGAATTTTCATTGAGGAGTTTGGAACCTTTTTTTAAAAATGAAATGTCATGCGAGTGTTTGAGCATTTCTGAATATGTGCAATTTGAAGGTCATTTTCTCCCAAAACAGGACAAGTGAAGGGGTTCACAATTTCAGAGGTGGGGAGTAAAGTGAAGATAGGCATGGGCAATGCCTTTTGAGAATGCACACACTGGCAGGGAATGTTAGAAAGGAAATTTTCATTATTATGATCACATAGAAGTGGTCATATTTCAATGATTTATTACTAGTTTCAACAATTATTTGGCTGATTTGTAGTTATCCATTAAACAATGTTAGGGTCATATAATTGAAGTTTGAAATTTGCTGGTTGCCAAGTCTGAAGGTTGCTGGGTGGTTCTTGGGTTTTATCTTCTAGGTTATGAAGTTTTCTGACTTTAACAGTGCAGACAGAAAACATTTTGAGTTATCTATTAGACAGTGTCTTTTATTTCATTCCAGAAAACTACTCTTTCAGTAATTACTTGAGATTGACAAAATTTGTTGGTTACAATTTTGGTTCTGTATCTCATATTATAAAATTGTCAACTTTGAAACACTTTTTTTGAAGATTACTGGCCTTGACCTCAATTTTTATTACAAAAAATAAATACAATGGTTTTTATGAAGTTTTAAAAAAAATCGGGGGTATTACATCTGTGATCCTGGTAAATAAGTCGATAAGTCATGAAAACATACTTTCAGGAGAGCAAAAAATAACTTCGAACTGAAGTAAATCTGGGATTAATGCTATTCAAACAAAACTATTTGTGTGTACATTGTGTTTGAATATCGTTCATTTACAGCATCAGTTGAAAGAAGTTGTTTTTTTTCCTCCTGTAAAATGTTTTCATGACTTATCAGTACGAGTGGATTTTAATGAAAGTTATGTTTTTTCTTTTCACTTTAGAACAATTCTGTTCAGTATAAAAATTCATTTTATGTTAAGTCAAAATGAAATGACTCATTTTTATGTTTTTTTGCATTTTTTGTTGATTTTGACTAAGTCATTTCTTACCTTTTCACTTAATTTTTAATGAATTTTTCACAGATTTTATTTATTTTAATATCATTGTAATGGTACTTGCTTCAAACAATATTTACGAGGTGCAACAAATGTTCACCACAGAATTCCTGAGTAGCCTATTTAATTTCTTCGCTCGTATATTGTAATGTCAGGCATTGAGATTACTATATAATCTTATGATCCTGTGACACCTATTGGTGCTATTGTCAGTTCAGCTGCTTTTGCAATAATTAAAGGCAGATTTTCTTTTAAAGAACAGTCCGAACCAAAAGTTTGCAAGCTGAGTTCACTTGAATATAAGGAAGAAGCCTCGATTACATCAGAAACATCCAAGAGCTAAAATTCTTCATTTGAAGAGGTTTTGATAAATTTTTTAAATTTTTCTTTGTTTTTAGGGCATATTTAAAGCATTTTATTGATCATTTTTGACAATGTTTTAGGCCATCAAAATCTGCCCTCTAATTATCTTATTCACTGGGATCTAAGGTATAGGAAGGTTTCACTGTCTGTATTTGTCTACTCAAATAACTAAATTCAGAAATAAAGATTGATTGCTGGGTTTGAAACAATCCCCTTGAACATGAAAATTTAATTGGCTTGGTGTAATGGAGTATTATAATTTTTGAATCCTTTGTTGTCATTGGGGATGGATATTAAGAACTATTAAAAATGTATTAAAAGCTAACGTTTTTGGTAATTAGTGTTCCTTTTTTAAAATGTCTACCCTTTTTCCTACTTATTTACTCTATTTTGACAACACAATCCACTATTTGCCTATTTGTAACTTCAACTGTCACTGAGAGGCCTGCATAAGACTCCCTCAGCTAGTGACTTTCATTTTTATATTCCAGAATTCAGTATTTGAAATTTATTTCAAACTCTTCTCTGATTAACTATCTGCTTCCAAGGTCTTTTTTGCCCTTTGTCATCATACATGTACACAGGAAGTTCATAAACATCTTTTATAATATTTAAAAATATTAAACAATAAGGCAATGATTACTGTAGTTAGCCATAATTTGTAAAAAAATTGAAATTGTACAAAATTCCTAGGTTTCAGATTTTTTCTTCAACATTTTTTGCTTGGATAGAGGGAAGTTTGCTTTTAAATTGGAATGAGTTTGATGTTCAGTAAAACCTCTGCAATTTCAAAATATTACTTATGTATAATTGTTCTTGGACCCCTTTCTACAAATTCATTATTTAACCCTCTGCATACTAAGCTCTAAATGAAATTCTGAATCCAAAGTGGGGTACATGTGTACCCCACTTGAATATAATAGAAGATTTCTTTGAAATCCAAAATAGCGAACTAAAATTTAGACTAACATTTAGAAGATTTTGCGCAGTTAATACATATTGAGAGACAAATTTAATAGAATATGTAACTTTATTCTTATTTTTTTCTTTTATTTCACCAATACACTTCATCAAAATACTTTAAAGTTTATTTGTGTTTTGCATATTTTTATTCTTTTTGTATCTGAATGTTCGTTACACGTAAATGAAAAACACTTACTGTATCTTGTTTTACCCTTTCTCTCTGTTTCTAACAGTTAACTAGAAACAAAAATTGGTGATGCGGAATACCAAGCAGGTTACAAATGTACTCCAATGCTTGTGTTTTATGTAGAAAACGTAAAACACCTTCAAACTATTACTTTCTTAAAGATATAATTGTCAACAGAAGTATTTTGAACAATGGAACAAATTTTCAAAATATTAAGCAAAACGTACACAAGTAAGAGTAAGATTGGGGTACATGTGTACCCTGCTTGCTACGTGAAGGGTTAAGAGAGAATGAAAGTTGTTTTAAATGTATGAATTTGAAAAAAGTATTCCGATTAAATCATCGATTTATAGTAGTTCATACAAATCACCACAATACTAGTTAGAAATAGTTTCAGAGCCCTTTAACTTTAAGTTTGGCTCTAGATATTCCAAAGCTACTTAGAGTTCATTCAGGAGAAAAATGTTTCATCAGAGTAAAGAACAAATGGCTTTGTAGTAAAGCAACGTTTATTATCCTGCTTATCAATGTTTACCCAAAATGTAATAGTCAATTTTGCTAGTTCTATAGAATTATATTGATGACTGGGAAATAATGTAAATAAGTGTGGAAAATCATGATAAGTTGGGGAAACTTGTTTTTGAAATTTTGTCACCAAATATTTTGATTTTTTAGGGGAATTTTGGATATCACCAAAGGTACAAAATATTGATAGCTATCTGCATTTTATGAGGTATGTTGTGTGATTTATTGGGCATTGTGTGTCCAAATGTAGATTCAAAAATATATTTGAAAGTTCATAATTTCTCTCTTGAATTTTTGTTCAAATTAGTTTCTACACTAGTAACATACTTAGTGCTGAAATAAGATGTTTGATCAATGAAATTCATTGTAATAAAATTAGGGTACTAAAAACTAAAAGTGAACACTATTTTCTGATAGATTCCTTTTTAGAAACTATTGTCCATTGTTCCGATTTTGATAAGGGATTAAAACCTACCTGTTTTCTTAAATTAACTGAACAAGTATCATACATGTTTTCTGAAAATTGAGTGTTTTGAAAAGGTTACAAATCTTACATTTGACTTGCCCTCGTTGTCCTTTTAGGTCAGTATTTGATAACTGTAAATGTAAAACTGCAAAATATTTTATGTGCAGTGGTATACTCTTACATTAAAGACGAAACAAGTATTATTTAAACAATTGTTTTATTGGCATCAGTGTATTAAAGACACAATGTGATTGTGTTATCGGGTGATTTGTAATAGACATTTTAACAATTCATTTTTTTCTTTCATCGTAAAAATTTAAATATGAAATAACAATACAAGCAAAGTAAGATTTAAAATTAGAATTACATTTTACACTTTTTAATTTAACATAAAAGAAAAATCTATGATAACAACAAAATCATAAATGGTATACAAATACAAAGAATTATATCTCAAAACATGACTTAAGTTGATTGATGCCAATATAACAATGTTAAAATAATCCTTGATTTGGTAGTTTTTAATGAGGATATCACTGCATGTATAAATATACAATATATAAACTGTCACTTTTTTTTTTCTTAATAAAATAAACAGTAAAATATTGGTTAAAAATTGAGCTTAAATGAGCAACTACAGCAATATTTAAGGAAGTTATGGATATAATTTGTTTGAATTTGCGTTTTGAAGTAATAATGTTGACATATTGGAACTAATAATATATTGCCGTAACTGAGTATTCCTTTTTATTCTTTGCTTGTGATAGTATTATGGTGCTAAAAGATTTTCATTTTGAGAATTTACTTTTAATGAAAGACAATTGTAAATTTTGTGTTGTTAGGTACTGCTTTGAAAAATTTTGAAAATTTGCAATATAATTTTCTTTTTGCCACTCTGCATAAAATAGGAAGATTTTCATTATTATTTTGGGTTAATAATGTAATGGGAATGTAAGACAGTTAAAATGGCTTTCGATAATTCAAGCTGTAGTACTGTGTATACATGACAGTTCATTCGTTTTGTTATAATACTTGGGAGCTTTTCAATGATATTCAACTATTGAATCAGGTAAACTGTATTTTATGTAAGTTTTAATTCCCAAACAGGAAAAATGTTGATACAAAAATTTCTTTCAGGCTTTACGAGAAAAAGAGAAGGGAGATTGGAGAAAGTTAAGTTTAGAAGAAAAGAAGGCATTATATCGAGCAAGTTTCTGTCAGACATTTGCTGAAATGAAAGCACCTACAGGAGAATGGAAGTCAGTTGTTGGATTATCTCTCATATTTATTTCCTTGTCTGTGTGGGTGTACATGGGCATGAAGCTTTTTGGTATGTTTGAAAAGTTTCTGTAATACTTACGTCACATTCTGTACGTCACTGAACTTAATTCGGTCAATTTTTATTTTGCAGTTTACAGACCTCTTCCTGATTCATTCACTGATGAAGCTAAAGAAGCTCAACTTAGACGTATGATAGACCTGAGGGTCAATCCAATTGATGGATTGACATCTAAATGGGACTACGAACAGGGCAAATGGAAGTAAATCCTGAAGAAGAAACTAGTTTCATTTATGTAGCTTGGAAATAAAGAGACATGTCCCACACATTACAAATGTATAGTAACTTATCAAAATCAATGAAATAATGAAACTTCATCCCACTTTGTGTGTGTGTGTTAAAGGTGTCTGAATGATTCACTGCAATGATCATTAGATTGTATTTAATTTTGACTTCAACCTTGTGTAAAAATTGAAGTTGTATTCCTGACTACAACTCTGTATTGACACTGCGAATGTTAGTCAGCAATAAAGAATATTTCATTGTTTTGTGTATGTTTTGATTTCAATTTCCCTATCCTGGATTCATGAGAACTGATACTGAATTGAATTTTGAAATTCGCGCTTGGAAAAGGGAAGGGGTTTCTGTGCTTAGCCAATGAGCGGTAGCTTGAACTCCATTGGTTGTTAGAATACTATTCAAACATGGCGAATTACAGCTTCATACAGTATTATTACTATTTATAGGGTTGCGTGAAATCGGGTTATAGGTATGAATTCAAAACCATATTATTTGGAAAAAGAACCATTAAGGACGAAGGTGACCTTAAAGATGTAATTTTCTGCAATGAATTACTATTGTGTGGGCGAATGTCAATTTGTGAGTTGGTACACCCATTCTCCGGTTCAATTTGTTGTACTGTAGAATTTAGTTCTTTGTAAGTAATTGAAGTGCCCACTGGGTTTGTGAAGAAGGTCGCTACCATTGCTAGACCTTTTAGGAGGAGTGTCAATTAAAGTGTAATTATCGTACATTTAATCGGCTTAATTCTTGGAAATGGCCCCCGTGGATGAGAATGGTAATAATTTTTTGCATTACCATAACATAACCTCAAACGAAGTTATCGCTGGAAGTATTGAAAACAATTTTACATGAATGGAGATGTAGCTGCGGGGACAACTAGCAACCTTCCATTACCACGATAGTTCGTATCGTGAAAACTATTGATATATTTCGAACAATCATGAAAATAAAGAAAGAAGCCCTGTCGAGTTCAGGGAATTTTAATGATAATGAAGGTGCTTATGAAAAGAACCCCAGTGATATTACAGAGCATGATTCGCCCAATACAGTTTTACTCAATGAAAGTGTACAAACCAGCCATCTACCTGTTTCGGTGTCTGGAACGAAGGAGAAGATCGTTCCGGAAATCACTGTCAAATCTCAGGATGCAGCATGTAGCACAAGTGAACCATGGCACCAGGCAGGAATTCTGCGCCAAGTAAGAAAATGAAAAAGAGTTAACGGATAAAATAAATTGTTCAAGTTTTATTTACTATATGTAAATTGCGTTTTGCAGGCTCTTTTATCCATCAATTCGTCGGGACAGGTGGAAAAATCAGAACCAAATGTTAATGTAGAAACAGTGTTGCCTAAAATGAGAGACCATCTACTTCCAAATGTGGATGACATAAAGTTAACAAAAACTAGATCTTCTGTACCAGTACCTGTTTCGAGTAGTTCACTTTCTTCTGCATCATTTTCCACATCAAATGATTTTTCTGCACCAATAACATCCATACCAGCAGTGACTTCTCCTTTCCCTTCACTTACTTTTGCAGCACTTTCTGCAAATTCATTAAATTCTAATTGTACAGTTCCTGTACAAGATTCAACCTTGTCAATAATGACTCCACTTCAGCCATGCAATGTGCATCAAAGAAGACTACCCAGCCCATCAAATGATATTCTTTCTAATTCATCATCTGATGCTGTTCCCAATCCTGATGCTGATTCATCTGTATCTGTAGCAAGTGTTGACAGTATATCATCTCTAGTTTCTGCAGTGCCAAGTTACACTGCTCCACCAAGTCTGTGTCAAGCATTAGCATCCTTATCTTCTAAAGATGAGGCAGTTACAGTGGTATATTCTTCTATTCCAAAGGTGGAAACAGCAAGTTTTATTCATGGTATTGAGAAAACTGTTCCCCTACCATCAATGTCAGAAGTGAAATCTAGTTTAACAACACATATTGGTGTTTCTCCTCTATCTGAGAGTAAATCATCAGAAAATCATCTCCACACTAAGGTTTCTGACACATTATCAATCACTCCTAATACTGAATCTCATAGTGAAGGAATGGCTTATAACAGCTTGCCCTCAACTGATGTTAATAATGCTCTTAGCTCAATCAAGGTGGATGAACAACAAAATGCATCAGAGTTCGGAGGTGACACTAATATATCTTTATCATCTGGAGCAGTTAAATTTGGAGGTGATAATTCGGACATTGCCTCTAGCATTGTTATTCCAGTGTCATCGGACGTTATATTAACAAAGATTGATGGTCAAAATTCAACGTCACATCAGGATATTAGTCACATTATTACAATTCCTTTACCAGCATGTACTATATACAACAGTTCATTGAGTATACCAATGCCATTACCTTTATGTAATGGTACAGCCCCAGGTGCCTCTGTCCAGATGACACCTGCAGTTGTTTCAAGTTTACCTTATTCTATTACAGGAATTTCTAATCAGTGTTGGCCAAGTTCTGCAGTTGCTTTGAATGTTACTAGTACATCAAATTCACAACTATCTACATCAGTTACAACAAGTCTTCCTGTTTCTATAATGTCAGTAGCTCCCGCAGCTTCACTGCCAAATAATAATATGATCCATTTTGCTTCTAATTCCATTTCATTGCCAACAACATCCCAAGTCGCTAGTACTTCCATAAATGCTGCGCCACAAGATCCTGTTTGTTATACTGTTCAATCACCTGCTGAAATTCTTTCCCAATTATCAAAAGCCGGGGTACTGCCTGCAATGAGTAGTAGTCAAGTATCTTCAGTCTTGTCTGCTCTGGGATCTGATTCCCATGTAGATATGGATCCAGACTCTACAAATCACAATGAAATATTAAATAATCAGGTAAGCTGTTTATTTGTATATAATGTTTTTTAGTTGCTTGTGCATGCTTTAATTTTTCTATCATACTTAGGAAATCTTATTATCTGTGAATTTTCTGTAATAATCAATAATTTGATGCATGTGTCTTTAAGTATAAAGTAACGTGAGTTCAGTTTTATGGTTTTACCATTTGTCTTTAACGATAAACAATATTCTTGCATTTTAGGAAAAATTCTAGTGCTTTTTCATATATGACATGTTTTTATGGCTGTGTGGCAATAATTTATCAATAAAGTGAATCAGAGTCGGCATAACCAAGATGGATTAATATGATACATTGTCATTGTGCGAGAATATTGAACTAGGAACTGAAACCAGCAGTAACATGAATAAACATTAGAAAATTTTGCTAAAACTTAGGAATATTATTTATAGTTACTTAAATTGTCAAATCTGTAATTCCTTTCCTTTTTTTTGTACAATGACATTTTTCATGAAGATATACTAAGACCTGTTAAATTGCAGGTATTACCAGGTGACAAAGTGTCCACTCTGACCCAAACAGACTCATTGGAAATGAATATGATGCAGCATGATGATAAAATAATTCAGCTTTTGAGTAGTCAACAATTGTTGGAACATCAGGTAAATGGGTCCCAGCTATTGATGCCCAATTCTAATCAGCCACCAAATCTCAGTGCTGATACTTCTCTCAGTGGTGGCGAACTGGTGACAGCTGATATTACAGAACCCAAACAAATTCCATCACCGTTCCCAAGAATTGTTGCTATGGTTTTAAATGCTCCGAGCGTATGCAATGAAAAGCTCTGTGTACCTGATAGTAATGTTGAAGACACTTTCAAAAATGGTGAAATTAGAACCAGTCACAGTGCAGAGTCTCGAACAGAACATACTACTGACCACTCGGGTGATAGTTTGCAAGATTTCTTAGTGCTTCCTGGTAATTCAAAACAACGCAAGCGTCCTAAGAGAACTAGTGCTCTTCGAGAAATGTTGTTGGGTTTGAATGATACCTCTACTGATAAAGAGTCCTTGGGCAAAAAGCCAAGAGGAAGACCTAAGAAAGTGAAAAGTCAGAATGATTCTTGTATAAACATAAGTAATAATAATCACAGTAATGCTAAATCTTCAGGAAATGAGGACTTGTTTTGTAATGGTGATGTTAGTTCTTCATTCTCAAAAGAGATTGGATGTTACAAATGTAAACATTGCCCCTTTTTAAGTGTTGAGGAAACAAGCATGGTGTCTCATGTAAAATTAAAACATTGTACAGAAGTGCCGGAAGTGAGCATTGTAAGGCAAGAGTTGAAATGTCCTGGCTGCCCTAACGTGTTTTTCACCACTAATTCATTGGAAGTACATCTTAAACAAGATCACCAAGTGAGCACACCAGAATTAAAAGCCATTACTAGTTCTGCAATTAAGGTGGCTACTGAAGGCAAAATTAATTTGCCTACAGTGAAGAAAAAGAAAAAGAAACCCTGCAGTAACAATGATGTTAAACATTCACAAACTACAAATGTGAAAAACTTAGCCAGCACAAGTGGTAGTCCTCAAGTCTTAGTTGAACCGAACAGTAACATCACTGTGTTGGATGTCTCTGAGACCTTAATTATGAGCACAAATTGTAAAAGTGATTGTGAGTTAATTGCAAATGAGAAAAAACTACATATTAAAAACCTTGAAAATGATGAGGGTATGGATAACCACAGTTACAACATTAGAAATATTTCTGCCCAAAGCACCAACAATGGAGATTGCCTGAGTAATAAGTCTCAAGACCAGAATGAGCAATTTCCTAATAAAAGCAACTTGGTTTCATTTGATGGAAATATGACAAACTCTGTAAGTGAAGTGAAATTATGCTTAATAATATGAATAATGTTTGACAATATTAATGTGTGATTCTTCATTAGGGAATGGTTAAGAATGCTTTAGAGAAAGTAGCTGTTGATGGAAAGGCATCTGTTGTAGAACCAAAAAGAAAACGTGGGCGACCTAAAGGTTCCAGAAGTTCTACCCTAATAACTGGTATGAAGACATCTTCAGACAAAGATGGTAGTCGATCACCAAAAAAGAATAATGTTGGTCACAGGTATCTGATAATGTTTTTCCAAACTCTGGCATTCTTTTGTTCTTTTTAAATGAATTCCTAATTCCCTCTTTCTTCTGTGTTTTATTAGTTTGATTTATACACAAAATAATGTAATTTAAATGATTACAAAGTTCTAAATTTGTAAGCTATCTGTCTTTAAGATGGACCCTCAGAGATTCTTTTCAAATCTGTTAAAAAGATGGTAAAGTGGGTGAAATAAAGCTGGAGGGAGGACACACTTGCATTCATTTGCACATTAGCTCTTGCTCACACATACAAGTGCACACAAGCCTCTACACACAAAATGCACTTATATATGCCCATACACTTTCTCAAAACTGTTAGAGCACACATTGCAAAATGTTTAGATTTATTGGAGATTGTATGAATATTTGATAATCTGTTTCTTGGAACTAATGATGTTTTGATATCCTTTATAATAGAGAAACACTTGAAAGCTAAGAGGGTTAGTATGATATCAGCTGGCATTAAATAAAAAACAAACAAAAAACACTCACACACTTCGTTTATATTTTTATACATAATTGTTCATGAAGATTTCAAGGAAAGGCATGGTGTGTGTGAAATGATTTTGTAACTTAAGGGCTCCTTTACTGTGTGTGAATATTTAGCATTACCAAAAAGGTTTTTTTTTTTTGTATCTGTGCTGAAATAAAACTGAAGTGTTGATTTCTTAAGAATTTTGAGGACCAAGATTTATGATGTGTGAATCACATCACACAATCTTTTTATCACTACAAGGAAGGATGTTTTTCAGAATAGTTTTTAATTTTAATATTTCAGATGCAATGTTGACAACTGTGCTGTGACTATGAGATCACCAGAAAACATAGAATACCATCGTGCATGTCATCAAGGTGCAGAATTCCGTTGTCCGGAGTGCAGTCATACACATTGTCATTGGAATGGTATGAGTACACATCTGTGGCGTGCCCATATGGTTGATATGGAGTTATATACTTGTGATCAGTGTAATTATAAGACAGTGAGGTGAGTGGTGTAGTTTAAGGTGAAGGTTTAATAAATAGTTGAATATCATCTGAAATAACACCCAAATATAAATAAGTGTATATTACTGTGTTTCATATGTTTACTGTCTAATGTGATGTACCAGCTAGATACATCAACAATATTTTAATATTTTTATTTTTTATTTTAAAAAAGATACAGTAGGCTAAGTAGCTCAATACATAAATGAAAACTGTTCATATTAGAAGCTCCAATACAAGCATGAATAACAAATACAAAGTAAGAGACAAAATAGTAATGACAATTTTAAGATTAAGAAGCATAATCCAAATTAAAATAAATCTAGCAATAATTTTATAAACAATATTTAACAGTTTTAGAAAATGAGTATAGATTACAATACAAGTCACCACATGTTATATTATCATTTGCAATTGTAGCAAGTCTGGGAATCGCAGAGTCATACATAAATTAAAATCTACAAAAATTTTTCATGAAGTAACTTCACATTTCTAATATTACATGGATTTGATTAATATGTAAATATTTGATCCCAAAAGTAATATTGTGGCTAGTAAACAATTGAAGGAGAGACGAAAATAAAACTTTTCTAGTTAAATTTATCTGAGAAAAAGTGTTCAATAATAAATATGACAGACTGAAATTAGTTTATATATTGTATTGTGGCAACTAGAACGTAAAAATAATATAATGTGAAAGGCAGTTGAAAGGGTGAAGTTGAAAGATTTATGGGATAAAATCCAGTTCAAAAAAATTGAAGAGGAAAATACAAACAAATTTTGGATGGAATAATATTAAATATATTTTGTTGACAGTAGAAATGAGTGACATATAACATTATGAAGAAAATGAACAATAAAGAAAAAAATTCTACAGAAGTGGACACATGGGAGTTATAGGAGATTGTCCTAGTCTTCATTTTAGCCAGCGGTAAATTATATAGAGGAAAATGATTTTAGACAGTGATGAGAACGGTAGTGGGAGGCTATGTGAATAGATCGCTGAACAGCAATTGCGAATTTGGTTTCCGAAATATTGATTTGAATTGAAAGTTTATGAAATGAATGCATGGGTCAGAAAGTGCAGGGGGAGATCCGGAACAATGGAGAAATGAAAATTCCAGAGTGACAATGGAACAAGGAATTGGTGAAATGTAAGCTGCATTTGCTGCAGTAAAGGGAAATGAAGAATATTTTTCATTAATGTTTTTTATGCAATATTTTGATTTAGATAGTCACTATGAGATAAGGTAATGAAAATGAACAATGTTTGCATAAAATAAAATAAACCATTGTTGCACAGACTATTTCAGTCATAACATTAGAAATTTGAAACTTTGTTTTTTCTTTTTTAATTTTATTATTTAGATATGAGACGATGGGTGTCACCTAAGTAAGCCATGATTCTATCCCTATAAATATCGAAGGGAGCATCCTGTATGGGATGGCTTTGCGAACCTCCACCCAAAAAATAAATTTCTGGAGCTAGTAGATTAATTACAAAAAAAATGAAAAGTAATAGTAGAAGAGTTGGAAATTGATTTTGATAACACCCAGTATAAGCAACATTGTTATTTTACCGGATACTTAAAGTAAAGTAATAGTCGTAGAATTAATTGAAATGTTACAGGGACTCCCAAGTGAGAAGCAAAGAAATATATAAATTATTATTAAATAAGCCATACGAAAGCAGTTCCATTAGATTATTTGATGCATGGGGCCTAGATATGAAGTATGAAGAAAAATTAGGAAATTAATCCACTGAAAACGGTCTCACTAAAAGTATGCAATGTAGGCTTGGGATTTTGCTACTTTTTAAATTTTCAGCTAAAACTTGAGTTCTTTGTCTAATTAGCTGGAGAATGCTTGATAGTTAAAAATTAATAATGAGAACTATATTCTTTAAACACACATTGTAAACAAACTAAAATTGTAGGGTGAACAAATTTATAAATAGCATGTATAAGTATAATGCAGAATGGTTGCAGTCTTATTGGACAATAGTCTCTTATGATCTTAATGAAATCTATCTAATTGATTCTATTGCTGTCTTTTAAATACACAGCTATGCAAAACTTATAAACCTTCATAAATGGATACATGGGTCCGAACGACCATTTCTTTGTGATTCGTGTGGAAAAGGCTTTAAAAATAGGAAACAGTTGCGTAACCACAAGGTGAGATATTCACTGGGCCAGTATATAATAATTTTTTAATATTTTCATTAAGTAAATGATTGTAATTCAACCATGTAATGTGCTTTTTTTTAGACAATTCATCAGCCAAAGCAGACAAAGGTCGGTGAATGTGAGATTTGCAGCCGTACTTTTACAAATACTCGAATGCTTCGAATGCATCTTGATAATGTTCATAATAAGCTGAGGCCTCACCTTTGCAACTACTGTGGATATTCTGCATCTTCAGTTAGCAGTCTTAAAATGCATATGCGAAAACATACAGGTAAAATAATGGACAATTTATGTAGTTTACTTTTCCTAAAATTTTAATATTTCTTCAGGACAAGTGATCATGTTTTCTTTTTTCAACTTTACATCATTCTGAAACTCATGAAGTTTTCTCCTACAGATTCATGTACATTATTCATTTAACATTCAAAACAATTTCTATAAGTTTTCTTAATAATGTGTCATGTTTATATCGAAAAAGGTGTGTATTACTTTCTTCCCAAATTTCCTGCTTTATAATTTTTGTGCAATATGTCTGTTGAATGAATATTTGGGATAAGTGTTTGCTGTTGGGAAGCAGACTGTAATTTAGAATTTTTATTTCTTCATCATTATTGAAAATAAATGAGTCAATGAAATGTTATAATAAGTAGCAGTATAATAATTTCAGTTTTATGAAATTACTTGCAAAATACCCAGTGTTGCCTTTGCTATCTTCATATCCAATCCTTGTTGAAGAGGGAAAAGGTAATTGGACTGTGTTTAGTGTTACTGTACCACTGTGTTTAAGATAATTATTTTTAATGTAAATAGTTCTAATTGTAATGAAATTCTATAATTGTCTTTAATTTTATTTTACAATGCATTGCTATTAGATTTTGATATGTTATCCTTTCGTCAGGGTCTCAAAGTGTTATCTTAAAAAATATATTTAAATGTCCATACTTGTAGTAAAATGTATTTATACAAAAACATTTTTTCAAGGAAATTTTCAACATGGTAAAATAGGTTCTAGCATTAGCAAAAATCATATTCTTACTGTTTATTTAAAAAGTGATTTGAAGTTCAGTAGTTTGTTGTTATAGGCTGATACAAATGGACTAAACGTCATGAAAAGTAGCTGAACCCTTGCAATTTCATTGCACAAAAGGAAGAAATAGAATAGTTTCAACAGAAAAGTAAAACATGTATACAGTACAAGGAAAATCAAAACTTCTCCCAAAATATTGTATCCTGATGTTCAATACTTATTCTCTGACACCAATAAAGTAAGGGAGGTGTACTAATTCCTGAACAATACAATCATTATTCTCAATCCCTATTCTAGAGATAATTTTCTGGAAATGCAATTTAACGGTTTTATTTACCAAGATCTGGAGTTGAGGACTACAACAAGAAACCCCTCTTTATGAAAACATAGTTTATATGATTGTATTATTTACACATACAATTCTAATCTTTGGATTTTTTGTAAAAGATTACATATTTCAAATGATTGCTGGGCAGTGCTTTTAGACTTCACTAATCTTACCTTCTAACCAGTGGTGTTGAAACTGCATATACTTTCTTGCAATATTGTTAATGGCTATGTAATATTATAATAAAATGCATTATGCATTGTGCCCTGAGGAAGGTCGCAGAATGGCGACCGAAACGTCGGCACCTTTGCCATGGCTTCACCTGGACAGCCTAGTAAATACTGACACTGTCCGCAGAAGCCTACGCTCTCATATTTCCCCAAACTTTTTCTAGCTTAACATTGTTATTTTTGTAATTTGTTGAAATAAAATTATATGTACACTTTCTTAAGATAACTTTCACATATTTATTTTTTAGGAGGGGGGGGAGCTATGTTTCAGCATTGACCCAGTTTCCTAAATTGCCTAGTTCCGGCATTGTTGACTATTAAGCATTCTGTTCATGCCTCTCAATTAACATAGAAAAATTCTTTGGCCGTTCATCTGGCGAACAGATTCTTGAATAAAATATGGCAGTTAAGAACCATTTATTATCATTTCAAAAAGACGATGTTTCGAGAGACTAAATTTTCCCCATCATTAGGCATATCATAAATATTATACCAAATTTAAACAATCAAATAAAAAAAAAATTTGGGCTGTTTTCAAATGTTGTATGGGTTGCAAGAATTATGATGTTTGATGTAGTTAGTTTGAGAATTGTAATGTTTCATGATATAAACTATTGATAATTATAATAAATAAGTTATTAACTTTTTATTGTTTATTGAACAGACCATTATAACTTTTTGTAAAGTTACAATTCGTGCTACTCATAATTAATTAAAGTAATTACAGAAAATAAATATGACCTAAATTAGCAAACTAAGACATAAACTAATTTAATGTTTCAGTATTTAGTAAGTTGGAGATTTTCTGTAACTCAATATAGTATTAATAACACAGTGTATTATTGCATTTATTAGACTTAATATGGTAAATTCCATGGATACTTTCTTTCAGGAGAAAAACCGTTTAGGTGCACTTTATGTGATTATTGTACTGCTGATCACAATTCATTACGACGTCACAAGATGAGACATACTGGTGATAAACCATACAAATGTCCTCACTGTCCTTATGCATGTATACAATCGAGTACATACAAAGCTCATCTTAAAACTAAGCATCCTGGTGAGTTTTTTTCATCTTCTTTTTTATCTTTTTTTCTTTCTTGTGAAATGTTAGGATGATGTGTGTTGCCCGTTTTAAGTTAAATGCAAGTAATTAATAAACATTCAACTTTCTAGGAATGGATGATGGACTTATGTTCAGCTGCAATTTGTGCTCTTTCCGTTCTGTGAAAGAAGAAAATTATTTAGCTCATTTAGCTGAACATAAAACTGATGTCAACTCTTCTGCAAAAAAAACATACAGTGCAAATCAGGTATGTGTTGTTTCTTTTACTTTCTCTACAGAGAACTATACAGAGAAAGTTACATAATGCTGGGAGTAAATGAACTGTTGTTTGACAGAAAAACTTCTTTCACGGATCTCTAATACCAAGAATGATATTTTATTTCTCCTTTATGTAATAAATTACTTTCTCAAATATGTAGTGTAGATCTTTGATACTAAAAATTAGTTTTTAGTATTCTGAATGCCCATTTGCCTATGAATATCACTAAGTACGTAAAGGTACAGAGGATTTTCTTCACCATTAATATTCTGTGAAAGATCTGACAGATGCCATGATCCCTTGAGTTTGAAACAATTATTTTCACTTTTGAGATACTTGACATAAAATTCTAATGACATTTTCTAAATAAATGTGACTTTAATTTTTTCTGTAAATATTTTGCTCGAAGTGAAGAACATAAGCTTGTAAAAATCATGCAGGTCTGATTATCACTTCAACTTCTAAATTTTCAAAAATTGCAAAAGTTAAGTTTTTTTTAATCCCCTGCTGCAATTTTATTTTTAATAATAGAAATTTCTTAATGATATGTTCTTCAAAATTATATTTTTACTATCTTACACATTTTAAAAAATTCGAACTTTTGCATAATTTCAGTGAATTGCAATTTAAAAAAATGTGTAAACCAGATTTTTTAAAACATTTTCCAATCATTTGGCTCGTTTTGAATAACTTTTGCTTTAGAAATATGACATAGGTCTTGTTCTTATCATAAATTCTGGAATTTTGGAAATTGCGCAATGGCAATTTTTTACTTTCTCGACTATTACTTATACAGTGTAGAGAAAGTATTGTTATGCTGTGGGGGGAAAGGGTGAAAAATTGTTTTGACAGAGAAACTATTGCCAGACCCTGATAAATATTATACCTAAATGTAGTAAATTACTTCCTTTAACATGTGTTTGTTTGAATCTGTAACACGTATAGTTTGAATCATGTTTTGATTCATTGATCAATGATAGTGCCTAAACCGTTGAGACTATTTTCTCCAAAATTTGTATTGCCTGATCGATGTAAACTAACGTGAAACCCTGCAAGTTTGACACTGATGTTTTGGTTTTGGGGGTACTGAAAATCCACACTTTCAAAGTTTTCTCAATAATGGCTTCAAATTTTTCAATTACCCTTTACCCTTGAACAACGTGAAGAACTCTTACAGAAATGGTGGGAGCCTCATTTTTCCTCAGAGTACTCCTCAAAGTTCAAAAACCTTTCAGCATCTTCTTACAACTACAATAATGAGGACAATTTTTTCCCTTTATAAAAGCTGTTCATCAAAAACAATCTTTAAATAAAGTTGTTTATTTATTTATTTATTATTATCACACAATTTGTCCACAGTTTACTACAAAATTAAGTGCTGGAGTAATCATCATTCACAAATACTAACCAACATCTCACAAATATAGAATGTAACAAAATAATGTATCTCAAAATTTACAATATAATAATTAAAATAAAATACTGGTATGATGACTCAATAACCATCCAAATATAAAGAATCCATTGTTCATACTTTCTGTAATATCTATATTGAAATTAAAATCAGGTTCTATTTCATTCACCACTTTAGAGGTCATTTTGCAGTATTTATTTATTTATTTATTTATTTATTTATTAATAAATTGAATTCAGTCCAATACAGAAATGTAAGGGAAAAATATATATAACCAAGTTTACGTATTCATATGAAATTATATGATGCTATAATTCATATGATTAAATTATAGCTGAATCGAAAAGATATATCACATCAATATAAACGAAAGATTCATTTTTGGAGTAGCAAAATCACAATTTTAGAAAAGATTATTATACGTATGAAAATACTGTATATTTTAAAATCTTAGTGAACTCATTGAGACTCAGGTCTACAATGTCAGTTTTATAATGGTTAATAAGTTTTTAATATATAAAGAATACAATATAATACTTGACTATACACATATGATACATAATAACACACATCTGAATAGAAGATAAACATTCAAACAAAAATTAGTTTACATATTTAATAAAAACTAGCAATTTTTTCTTTGCTTCTCTGACAAATTTTACGGAAATTGGTTCCCTTGTATTGAAATGGTTATCGTTTACTAATTTACATATTCAAGTTAGCGGATTGTTAAGAAGTATAAAACTCATTTGTTCCAATAAAAGTTAATAGTCAATTTTCTTATTAATTAATTTGTACAGAAATGTAATTTGTTACATCATTATATTCCCTCAAAGAGGAGTGTGAAGGGATATTTAAGGAAAGCGATATTGCCCTATACTCATGATCAATAAATGGATCTGGTAAATTAAGGCAAGTTGCTGCAGTTTAAAAAAAACTTCTGTGATTTGAAGCTAGGCAATATGGTAGAGGATTTCCATTCCATGGGGAATGTTCCTTCAGCTAATGACGTATTGAAAATTTTTTTTAAGATTTGAGAAAAAATTAAATGAGATTTCTTTAGAAAAATAGCAAGTAATACAACTGGACCTTCTCTGCTGTAATTGTCAAGATTATTTATAGTGTAGTATATATATATATATATATATCAGTCGACATCTCAATTTTAGACATTTTTCCAAGAATAAATAATATATATATATATATATTTAATTTTCATTGAAATATTAGACAGAATATTTTTAAATATGACTGTTGTTAGTTCAATAGTTTGTAGTATTTATTTAGTCCTTTGTTGTACTTAAACAGTCGCTTTGCTACATTTTTTGACATATCACGTTTAGCAGGAAATGCATCATGAAAGTGTGATTTTATACATAACAAAAGGCTTGGTCCATGAATTACAAGAACATAATCATGGCTATTTGTCCCTTGCTAAATGCATTGAAATCTCTTGCAATATAGAGGTAGCATGAAGGCCAATAATCTTGAAGGCCGATAATCACTCAAAGTGTCAGAAACCATTATTTACACCCAGGCACCTCATTCATGTCTATTTATCTTGCCCACGTTTGTTGCATCACATTTCTCTATATGGTATATTAAACATTAACTTTTACTAAAAATATTTACTTTCAGAACAAAACAAATACCAAATTTAACATGGAGGAACAACCTGATTCAGTTATTCAACTTGTAGAGTGCCATCTTCAAAATGGCAATAGTGAGTGTTACTCAATGGTGAAACTTGGGGGTATGGATTCAACTTCAGATATACAGGTAAATGTCTGTTAATTATTATTCCTTTCATAACATTTTTGTTTCCTTTTCTTTAATATTTTTGGTTGGTATTAGATTTTTTACCCTTTGTAGAGTTGTGTGTCATACTGAGTGAGTATTCCTTTACTAGAATTCACTCATAATATCAATATTTTCTATTAAACCATGTATTTCGTGGTGTATTGTGAGCGTACACTGCTTTGTGACAGTTTCACCATTTGTCTTTAAATGAACGACTATTTTGTAAATATTTGATTTAAATGCCCACGTTTTGTGCAGGCCTACTAGTATACTAAATAATTTGGCATTTTAATTTTTTTAAAGTTATTTTCCGTAGTGTGTTGTGTCCTGATTGTGGAAAAATGAAATAAACTGGAAGAAGAGATCTTGTCTGTCCGGGTGAAGCCGCGTTGAATGCTGCGATTCCAACGTTTTGATCATCTTCTCGTGGTGTTCTTTAGGGCTGGCCTGCGCCTGGTGAGGGCGTGTCGAGCTAATTGTTTTAGCGTTGCCGGAGCTTCGTTGGTTTGAAAGGCTTCGTTAAACGAAAGCCGTCTCAAGCATTGAGTGAAGGATTTGATATCAAGTACCTTCCTCAGTACTTCCAACCGTTCCCGAAAGCTGGGCGGACGGGCGTTACGGAGGGCGTGCTATGAGCCGTAGAACTTCTGTACTAGCTCAAGTGTATCCTTGTACTTCTGTGCTGTTGTCACGTTGCCGTACCCCGTTGCCGCGGCGTAGGTGTCCACAGACCGGCTACACGTTTTATAGAATGCCAAGCGAAGTTTTTTCATTTTCCCCTCTCCAGCTGGAGAGGCGGGAATTTATTTAAGTTGGGGATTCATATTTTCCTGCAGCCGATGAGGCTATTGCAGATTGCTAGGGCGGTATCTTAAATAAACTAACTTAAAACTAATTACATTTCCGCTTTGGGATTTAAAAAAAAAAAAAAAAGAAAAAAAATTCCCCTCTCCAATTACCCTGGAGATGCGGGAATTTATTTGACTTTCGGAATACATTATTTTCAACTGCAGACGATTTGGCTTGTGCAATTAGGAATGACTTTTTTTTACTTACAGACTAACTAAAGCTATCTTATTACAATTTACATTCCCGCTTTGGGGTTTGTTAGTTTTTAGACCTTTTTAATTATTTAATTTGGAGTTGTTTGAATTGTTCTATTTTCTTCTTTTATTTTGTTGTCACTCGTATTCACACTTATATTACAATTATATTTACAAACGAATTCATTCATTCATACAAACCCGCAACACTTCACAACGCTATATACCCTTTAATACTCGCCACGGCGCCGACTTCACTCAAGCGTCTGTGGCGCCGCGACGTCTTTGGTCTCCAGCGACGCTGACCCAGCGGAGCGCGCATCCGCGCCGCCCGCGCGGTGAACCCCTCCCACGCACTTGCTGCTCCCCCGCGTCGCAGAGCTCAGAGAGCTTGTGCTGGGGCAGTGTGCGGAAGGTGAAGGCGACGTGCTGTGGGCCCTTTCGTCTGTGGAAGGCCCTGTGCACGCCGCTGTTCGCAGCTTTGCCGGTCTCGCGCTGTATGCGCGGAGCGGGCGGCCTCAGCGCCTTGCGAGCGCCGTCTCCGCCCTCTTTTGTAGCTCCGCCGGGAAATGGTTGCGAACGGCTAAGATTCGGAAGACGTCAGCGTTTTTTGGAGGTCGGTCGGGTCTGATAAGAGGCAAATGCGGGCGCGCCGCTCTGTTCTCTGCTACATGGCTGGGGTGCAGAGTGGAGGGAGAAGCGGCCGCGAATACCTCACATGCGTACGCCCACAAGGGACGCACGCAAGCTGTGAATAAGCGGCGCTTTAGAGGAATTGCGAGGTCGGGAGAACGGAGAAGAGG